GTTAAAGGCAATGCTGTATCAATGCCGTCGATAGTACACAAATTTATATAAAGAGGATGGAATATGTACGATTGCGTGCGTGATATATTACGGAATACAACCGAAGCGGAAGGCAGGTGCCAGAGATGATCAGTGTTCAAGTAGCTTTACGCAAGTATGCTCGTGTAATTTCTAGAGTCGTGGTAAAAATGCTGGATACTCTTCATAAATAAACGTCACGGGTATACTTATGCAAATTAACGTTCATTATTGCTTGCGTTTTTTATTTAATTTTTATGTCCCAGAAAGAAAGCCGGAAGGAATAAAATTGCGTGATTTTAATAAATCGATAATTGTGATTTTAATAAGTGAAGAAGATGAGATTAAATCGCCGCAAAAAGATGCGGCAACTTAATCTCGTTTGCTCGATTTATGAGAATCGCACAATTTTGTTCTCAGGATATCGAAAATTAAAGAAAGTAATAATAATAAATTTACGTTCATAGTTTTCCGTTCAAGATTTGTAAGATAAATTCAATTTCTTAAGTAGATTTAATAATTCTTCTCGGCTGGAGTAATTAACCATTAAAATTTTTCTTAAGAGATGGAATTGCTTAAGGCAGCTTTACGTAAAAAATAAAAATTTGCTATTAATAATCAGCTTATTAAAGTTGCTACGTGTAGAACTCATCAATAAATAAAAAAATCACAAAAACTGGCTACAATGAGCACAAATTAATAACAAATGACAGATGGATAAAACACAATTAAAATGACATGAGCCAAGTAAATTTCGCAATTTTGATTTTTCTCTGTGTTAACGATATCGTAACATATAATATAATATTTTGAAATATATTAAAGGGGGAAGGAAGCTGGCTGACGGCAACCGGAAATTCGCCACGAGGAGACGAGGAGGCAGAGGAAACCAGGAGGCAAGGAGGCCAAACAACTCTTTCGCGCGGTAAGAAACCTAGAGAGAGAGGGAAAGAATATCACCGAGTCGGTCGGCGTCCTTTGTTTTTCTCGAGCATCTAACGAGGATTTACCGCTGTTACAACTACCCGCGTTCCCGGCAGTCGCCACCATCACCGGCGCAGCATCAGTGTGAAGATCTCTCGATGCCGGGGAAAAAAACGCGGTATCTCGGTTCCGGCAGGAGTCGTAAGGATAAAGCAACGACGCCGTCTCCCGCAGGAACCAATTTAGGTACGCGCTCGCGGACAGATTTAAATCAAATCAGTCTCATCGCTATATTCGCGAAAATTAATCCGCGACGAGCCGCTTCCCCGAGAACTTCTCCTCGGAGAAATAGTGGCATTGCGGAAATTCTTAATTTTACGGTTTAAATCATTATAGTTGAATCACAGTCGTCTACTATTTCTTTGTTTAACGCCGGTTGAGCCGTTTCTCTCCGATGAGGGAGTAGTAGTTTCTAACGAGGAACTGCGACTTGGACTATTTTTTCTGCTTTATCAAAAATGAAATGGATGAGAGAAGAAAATGACAATGGCTGCGAGTCAACGTCAAAATATTAATCACTCGATTACTTATAATTCTTTCAATTTAACGGGAGCAATTATATGTTTGTAGAAACGTCCAACTAGAATATAACAACCGCGTCTATCTACTTATTTTACACATCTCTCTTTCAATGTTTCGTTGTTTAATTATTTCATTTGATTACTCGCACGACTTTCCAAACCGCGACAATCGTCAACGTTGGAGAGTGACGCGTGGTCGAGAGAGAGAGAGAGAAAGAGAGAAATCTCTCGATTTATCGGCGCACTCATCCCCCGAGTTGCATCGACAATCTTGGCTGATTCGAAAGTCTGCGGCGCGGAGGAGGAACAAGTAGAAAAGGACGACGGCGATCGCGACCTGGCGCAGGGGGCGACGAGGTGAGGGAAGCCTTGATATATCCGCCAAACACAAGGGGCCCGAACACCTCGGCGGGATTTATCGGGACTACGGATAATGGATGGCTTCGCGCAGCCATCCGAGGGCGCCGCTTTTTTAAATAATACAACGCGGAACGATGAAAAATTCCTGGCTCTCGCAATAATCGCGGCTACCAGAACGGACGGATAATGGAGACGAGCAACTGTCAGTTTCAAACGAAACCATATCAAACGTTACAAATAATTCTGCAAATCGCGATCCAATACACTTATCGTTGTATTTGTTCGTCGCTGTCGCAGAGAGACGAGTTACCAGACAAATTTCTAAAGTCCCGCTTGGAACTGCTTGACAAGGATAACGATGCGCTAGGCGACTAAGGGAATTTGAGGATATTTTTACAATCTTCACGTATATAATTAACGATAAATACACGATGCGCGGATTTAATATTGAGATAAAAAGTTGAGATGACACGATACTCCCGTCTGAGTCGCGAATACCATGTGCAAAATGAAAGGGGAACGCGATTATTTCAACGTGACGGTATCAAAGAGCGTAGTTACGGCAGTAACGACGAAACTCAAAGGATTTCGGCGACTCGAGCTTCAGGTGTAGCACAGTGACGACAGCTTAACAGCCTTAACCGGCTTTCCAGGGTAAATTTACCTCTGGAAAGTAGATTTACACTAAGATTTAAAGGGAAGCAGGAACGGCCGGCGTCGAGGCGGACGCGAACCGCGAGACAAAAACCGCGGAGACACGCCGTCGTCGGATTGGATCTCCACCGCGGGAATGTATTTAATTCGATTGGCCTTTGCCGCCTCCACCGCCTCCGCGTCGCCGCCGCCGCCGCCGCCGCCGCCGCCGCCGCCGCCGCCGCCGCCACCGTTGGACCCGAGGGCGGCATGGAAGGGCGCGAAGCGCGGGGTGGCTTTTATCAGGGGGTGAGAGAACCTCTGTTTCCGCCGGAAATGAGGCCCTTGCTACCACCGTCCCGCGTCGCCCCGCCACCAGCGACCTACTCTCCCTATCAACCTCCCCTCTCCACCGCCGTCCCTCCCGCCCTCCTCGTCCCTGTCACCCTCCCTCGCTGTCGTCGTCGAGGATGAAAATCGTATTTATATCCCATCTCTCCCGCGCCCAGGTAAATATTACGAGCGAGTGTACGCACCTGCCGCTACGAGCTATGACAAGCGAGATCCGCGACGCCGAAAAATCGACGCGCTCGTCGCGACGCTACCCTCGGCACGCCGACCTGGCCGCCCTTGGATATTTTTACACTCGCAAATTTCGTGCGTGCCATGGCGACGAGAAATTGTAAACTCCGACCTGTCGGTCGCGCATTGTAAATTGACAGTGAGAAAGTTTGAAAGTAGTAACTTACGATTCAAAATTAATAATCAAATATCCCGAAGGAGCGAGTTTTAACACCGCCGTAATACGAAGAGAGAGGGAGAAAGCGTCTTTTGTTAAACTGATTGTGAGACAACTAAATTTATATGGTAGCGATTATTTAGATACTCCAGACGTGGTCGAATGCCATTATCTTCCCATTGCGTACAGTTAATGGAAAGGTATAAGGTTGACAATTATGTTATTTATAGACTCACGTATCTTATGGAAAAAAATACAATAAAAAAATTTATAGATTGAAACTCTTTGTCTCGAACAGCAACTAAATGCGCTGGCAATGTTGCACATGTATATTTAGCTTTTCTTCGCCTACTCTTTTCAAGTCAATCAGTGGATCATCACTGAAAAACAGTGAACAAAGCGTATAAGTGTAATACTTGTAACAGTGATCAGTGATAACGCACCGATTGACTTTAAGAGAGCGCCATATCTAACGTTTCCGGCGAATTCGAGCGGTTCAATCAATTTCAATGGATAATTTCGCGACGCGGTGCTCACGGAAATATTGCGCCGCGTCTCTCGATTCGAAGAGTCCGCTCGCAGGCAGGCGTGTCTTATACTTTCTCATTACGAACGCAAATTAATTCCAACTTTGACATAAAGTAATATAAAATCCGGCCAGTGATCCGATCAACCGATCGACCGGACCACCCACGTGGATTCTTCCCCGTTAGATGCGCGACTCGAGGGGGGCGCGATCCCGCCCTCCGATTCCCCTCCCTCGCCCGACTATTCATAAGGTCTCTTAGAACAGGTGCGGACCGCTGCTCCTTTCTTTCCCTTTTCCTTCTTTCTTTCCTTTTTTGTTTTTATCCCCGCGCACCGAATCCCCGAATAAGGCGGCGGGATCTAGAGCCAGACGGCGGAGAATCGAGATGGAAGAAGCTTACCGTCGCTCTCTCTAGGCGGATGTCGGCTGGCTCTCCCTCCTCCGGTCGTCCTGCGAGATGTAATTTTCGCTGTATGCCGAGATTAGAAGCCAGCTCGTCGGGGTCCACCTCCCCGGGTCCCGCCCGTCTGATAAGTATTGCCTACCCTGTGCCAGTCTCCCGCTGAATGCCCTAGAACTGGAAAAGGGATTCGAGAGATAATCTCGGTACGATCGATCGGCCTTACGTGACGTCACGGGCGACGATGGGCGCCCGTTATATCCCGTTAAGAAGCACACGTATCCGCATAGGCGCGGATTTGCGGAATCGCCTTGAGCGCAATGAAGATCTACTAGTTGCTCGTTAAATAAATGTCATTGCTATTAATACATCTTAGGGCATTACGTGGCGCCGTGTATCTCGTCTAAGCGGAGCCGTGTATAATTAAGCGTCAAGATTACGCGCGAAATACTCGCGGATTCCACGGGAAATTCTTTTCAAGGCGTTTCGCATTAGAATTAAAGTTATCGGATGAGAAGAGGAGCGTGGCAGCAGGATGCGATTCAAAGGTGAAAAGAGTACCGCTTCCGCCCCACGCTCCTCTCGCATTCGCTTCGCGTCGTCCCCGCGACACCACGGGACGAAACTTTTACCGGACGAAATCTCTGAAAGACTGTTTAAACGGATTAATCAAAGATACGATTTAAAAAAAAATCACGTCAAGAGGAACACTAGTACAAATAACGGATACTAATGTAATACGCGCTGCAAGTTTAAAAAAGTACGTCTTTAATCAAAAATATTAGATTGTCGGCGCCAAAAAGATAATTCGACGTGTTCTGCTCCGAGATTCAGCGAGATTGCGATTTAAACACGCTAGAGATGACGTGGATCATCATTAGAGGCATCCTCCAATCTTCATTTATTATACAAAGCTTACAATCTATGAATTACATATTTTAATTTAAAATTATAAGCTGTACCTCAATTAATATTACACCTACTGACTGAAATTTCATCTGCTAATAACGTAAGACCTGGTATATTTTAATTGTGTAACTTTTATCACTTTCCTATCTTCGCTTGTACACTCGTCGCTTTTCTATACGAAGATCACATTTTGTGAAAAAATAATCTTCCAGTTTGAGTCCTTTTAGCATAAATGGGCGAACAACGAGTGACTTGTACAAATGAAGACATCCGATTGACCGTTTAATGTCCATATCTGTAACAAGACAGAAATAACATAATTTTTAAGCTGGTTACCTTAAAAACTAAAAAGCAATCCAATTTAAACTTTACCAAGGATATCTACTCGCATGCTGTATTTAAACTTAATTTCAACGTTTTAAATTTCTGTACTCAAAAAATCAAGGTGGCACGTATATGCGTGACAAAATTTGTACACTAATAAATGAAAATCTACATACTTTTGAAACTCCCATTCGCGATTATCCAGTGGGCAGACCTGCCGTGTCTTCAACCAACGTGAGATGCAGTGAAAATGGAAGGCGTGCTACGGACAAAAATTACAGTAAGATCCAAGTGAAAGCTCGGCAATGTTAACGTCCAAGTATATATAGTCAAACCTACGTTGCATACGCCCCACGCTACCGTACATTCCTCGCTGGTGGCCGACGCCTGGTTCGCTTGGCACTCGATACAGAGGTCCATGATGTGATTGCGACAAATAGCGCAGTTGTCCACGACGATATCTGAAAGACGTTAGAGTGTACTTACTACCGGTTGCATCTCGGAGACCGTGCGCTCACGATACTCGAGACTAGTTCTTACCCCAGGCCCACAGTGCCACCGCGTTCCACTGAAACAGATACCAGAGCGTATTTAGTCGCAGGAGATACCAGGGGGTATGTCTTTCACAACTGCACTGGCTGCCCTAGATCGGACTTTTCCTGTTTATCTCTTTTCTCCTCCACGTTAGAAGGAGAAAGATAAGCTCGGAATTAGAGCAGCCAGTTGAGCTATAAAGAACGGATTACGGGGGCTCACAATTCTGTATCTTACAAATACAGTGACGATGTTAAAAGTGAGCGGCTTGTCTCTAGGCCGGTTAGAAAGAGACAAAGCTGCTCGCTTCTAGCTTAGTCTCACAGCAGTGTAAGATAACGAACGGACTGCAGATTGCGGCGCCGAGCGGAGTGACAAAAGCGCGAACGAGGTTAGGAATCACGCGTTTGCACGCCGCGCGGCGACCGCGGGCGCGATCGACTCGCGCGTGCGACCCGCGCGTGCATTGACGCTCACCTTCTTCACCTCGAAGCGCTTCTTCTCGCCTTTGCCGCTGCTGGAGGTCGGCAGATCGCACTCGTCATCGTCGATCTCCATGGTCGTCGCCATTCCCTGATCCCGGAGCGTCTTGCGCAGCCTCTGTGGCTCCGCGAGCGGCGCTGCCGGACGCGCAAGCGCGGCGAACGGCGCGGCACCGGGGCTCGTCGCGCGTCGGAACGCGAAACGAAACTTCTTCTTCTTTCTTCTTGCTATTCCTCAAATAAAGAAGGATTATGCGCGAAACGGAACGCACCTCTAGCTTGATACCACGATGCAAGAGACGGAGGCACCGCGAGACACGTCGAAACGACGTCGGATGCGCGCGCGCGCGCACTTGAACGCGCGCAAAATGTATTTACGCAGATATTTCATTTCGCTCGCGGATATCGGCCGAAAGGCGACGCGAGAAGCGAACGAGCGCGGTCTCCGTAAATCGCCCGACAGCAATGTCGATTTCGCGGCAACAGAGACCGAAGGTGCACTTACCACTCGGAGGGTCGTTGGCGCCAAACTCCGCCCGGTCCTTCCGGTCGATACTCGGGCGCGAGTAGGCGCGGGCGCTCGCGCGTCCACCGACGTGAATCCGCGCGCGGTACTCGATTCCCGAAACGGGAAAATCGCACGAGAAACGCAGAGCCGTTGCGTCCCGGAGGCACCGAAAGCGACGCGATGCAACATGGCGGCGGGTCGCGCAGGCGCAGAGACAACGCGGCGCCGCGACGCTCGGGGGACACTCGATTGTTGATTAACTTCCTCGCGTCCGTTTGAGCGCATCTCGCGTCGCGCGGCGCGTCGCCGGAGGTCCACGACGAACGTAATGTCCTCCCTGTAAAAAGCGAGCGTAGGAATCGGAAGGAGACCGCGCCGGCGAGGAAAGGCTCGAACTCGTGACCTGTCGAAATCCCACTTTGGGAGCCGACGAGTCACGACTACGAGTCACTCGAGACGGTATTCACGTTACTTACAAGAGTCCTGGGGCACGACGCGAACGAAATCTCGACGCGTTTCCGCCAAGGACGGGCGCGTTTCTCTCCGGCGCCTTTCGTCGGCCACGTCTCCCTCGCGCCTTTTCCCAGGAACCTGCGCGCGAGACGCGCGCACGCGCGCTCCCTCGGCGGCGCCGACCTGCGCGCGCAGCGAGCGGGGATGGCAGGGCGGAGAAGTTGGCGGCACTGGCCGGCAGGAAAATGGCGTTGCTGTTCGTTGTTTCACACGGGCGAGGAACGTGGTACGCGCGGCGTCACTGACGCGTCGCGTCTAGCATGTAAATAATAACGAGACACGTGCGTTGGTACTGAACGTTGATCGCGAAGACCGCCCCGCCTTGCTCGCGTGCCCGTCGTGGTGACTCCGATGCGATTCCGGTGATACGTTTCTACCTGCGTGTCCGCAATGGCCGACGACTCCACTCCGCTGCCGAAGAGGCGCCAATTGGTAAACAAAGAACGCGCGCGCCAACTCCCGACGGCGACGGCGACGTCGAGCGACGCTCGGCGATCCGTCGCGCGGTGTTGGCCGTCCACGTGCCACGCTGCTCTCACCGCCCGCGTGCGCCTCATGTTTCAGCGCGAGCGCACCAGGAAGCTGTACACGGACGACTGGACGCTGGGCGACGAGGAGATCGAGGGCCGCAGGACCTTCCAGCTCGACGAGAAGATCGAGGGCGAGAGGTACGATCTGAGCAATTTCAGCGGCCTCTTCCGCGAGATGACCGGTCCGGAGCTGAACCTGACTTACCTACAGAAGCACGGTCTGCAGATACCGCTGCTGTTCAAGGAGAAGTCCGGGCTGGGCTTGCGAGTGCCCAGCTCCAACTTCTCCATAAACGACGTCAGAACTTGCGTGGGTAAGTTCGGTATGCGTGAGAGAGCCGCTCGACGGGCGTTAACGACGTTTTCGTTAATGCGATAGGTTCCAAGAGAGTGCTGGACGTTATGGATGTTAATACTCAAAAGAATGAAGATATGACTATGAAGGAGTGGCAGAAGTATTACGAGGATCCCAACAAGGAACGCTTGTTGAATGTGATCTCATTAGAGTTTAGTCATACCAAGTTAGAGAATTACGTACAATCGCCTGCGCTAGTGAGGCAGGTGGATTGGGTAGACGTGGTGTGGCCCAGGCACCTCAAGGACGCACAGGTGGAGTCTACCAATCTGCTAGAGGACATGATGTATCCGAAGGTGCAAAAGTACTGCTTAATGTCTGTGAAAGGTTGCTACACCGACTTTCACGTTGACTTTGGCGGTACGAGTGTATGGTACCACATTCTGCGCGGTGGCAAGATCTTCTGGCTGATTCCGCCCACCGAGAAGAACCTGACCCTCTATCAGGAGTGGGTGTTGAGTGGCAAACAGTCCGACGTATTCTTCGGTGATATGGTAGACAGATGCGGCAGGATAAGCCTGACGGCTGGCATGACGCTCTTCATACCGACTGGTTGGATACACGCGGTATACACTCCGCAGGACTCTTTGGTCTTTGGTGGAAATTTCCTTCACAGCTTCGGTATCGAAAAGCAGCTCAAAGTCGCACAGGTGGAGGAGCACACGAAGGTGCCGCAGAAATTCCGATATCCGTTCTTCACAGAAATGTTGTGGTAAGGGCCGAGCAGTGTATTTTGTGCTATTTAATGCGAGATACATGCTTTTTGTGTAACGCACGTATTCGTGTGTTGCCGCAGGTACGTCCTCGAAAGATACGTGCACGTGCTGTTGGGCAGAAATCACCTGGATATATCAGAGTCGCAGCGGCAACACTTGGTCCCGCAGCAGCACCAGCACGTACATATCACGCCGTTCGAGTTACACGGCTTGAAAGCAATAGTGATGTATCTACATTCGTTACCGTCAACTAAGAAGAACGTACCGGAATTGATACGCGATCCGGTAGCGCTCATTCACGACGTTCGTTGCCTGGTGGAGAAGCACAGACACGATAATCCAGAGGCGGCAGTGACGGGCAATCCTGTGTTACCGTCACCACCGCCTTTAAGTATCGCCGACCGAGTATGTATCGTTTGCTACGTCAAATTGAAACGAATACATTTCAGTATATTTTGTCCAATTTTTATTTGTCCTGTTTTCGCTTTTTTCTAGGAACGGATGAAAGTCACGAGGAAAGGTTTTGTCAAAATGCAGAGACATCATTCGGACAAATCCGAGAGAGCATTCCCGCGCAGAAGACGCACGAGATGCAAGAAGTGTGAAGCTTGCACTAGACAGGATTGTCGAGAGTGTGTGTTTTGCCAAGATATGGTCAAGTTCGGAGGCAGTGGTCGCGCTAAGCAAACATGCCTTATGCGTCAGTGTCTCAGACCCATGCTTCCTGTTACGTCATCCTGTAAGGTCTGCAACTTAGATGGCTGGAAACAACCACCTGCACCACTGACGGGTACGTACAATTTGCCACCGACTAAATATAATTCGTTTTATCATTTTTTTTAATAAACATTTCTGAATCGTATCCTTAGCCTTTTATACACTTAAAAAAATTGTTTACTGTTATAATACAAACATTTATGTATTTATATAATTTAGATTATGTATGTGATCTCTTTCTTACCATAGATCGAATGTTTGAAATTGCAGGTAAATCGTTTCCCACAACACCATCTACTTTAATGGAATGTTCAACCTGTTTCGACATTATACATCCAGAATGTATAGGTTTAAGCTCCAAGGAGATAACTGTGAATGACGATTTGCCAAACAGTTGGGAGTGTCCAGAGTGTTGCGAGCGAGGTCGAAACTTGGATTATCGGCCACGTCAGGCAAGGGGTCGCACGCGAAAGCTATCGGTATCCAGCGCAGCCTCCTCGGCACCGACTACGGATTCCGAGCGAGCTATGACACCAAGTAAGCGGTCGAGGCTCGACCCCAACGAGGTACATTACGTTCATAGAAATTTCAGAAAAGCCGTCTTGTATCCACAGTGGAATAATTTTTGCGTATTTTTACGTGATTGAATCTCCAGATAAGCATAAGCCGAATTGTATAGAGCGTTGCTGTATACATTTCGCGTGCATTATTTTCCTCAGGCGTGGAATGATTCGCCCGGGGAACCAGCCGAAGGTGAACAGAGAATGACTCAGCAGCGCACCCAGTTAGCTATGCAGTTAATCGCCTCGAGCAGCAGGTCCTTGGTGAGGCCTCACGTTGTAGTTAGGCCAGCACCGCCCCCGCCTATTCAAGAAACGGACAGCGAGCCAAACGAGCAGAGTCTGGTGTACAACAAGACGGTGATGCTTGCGATATTTCGAGTTCTCAACGTGAAGGATCTGTCGAATTGTGCCTTGGTTTGCCGTACCTGGGCAAGATACAGTGTAGAACCCAGTCTATGGAAGAAACTCGACATGTCGCACCACATCCTCTATTCCTCACACCTGACAGCTATCATCAGACGTCAACCTGAGAGTCTTTCGCTAGACTGGACCAACATCAATAAGATGCAGCTAGCTTGGCTACTGAGTAGACTACCACAGTTACGAACATTGTCCCTTCAGGGCTGTACTTGGGCCGGCGTTCGTGCCCTAAAGAGTTGCAGCTGTCCGCCTCTAGAAAAGCTAAATCTGAATTATGTCATCTCTTTCAACGACGCTGTTTTACAAGACATCCTGGATTCACCAACTGATTCGAGACCTGGCCTTATTGACAAAACATCACGATTGAAGCATCTCAAAAATCTATCTGTAGCAGGATGTGATCTTACGGACCGAGGAATAAAATATGTAGTCCAGCATCTGTCGGATCTTGAAACTGTAGACCTTTCATCGATTGGCAGGCTCACCGATTCTGGGGTGGCGCACCTCATCTCCCTGCCAAATCTGACATCGTTGAACCTAGCAAATTGCAAGTTGCTCACTGAAACCACTCTCGATCATTTGACAAGATGTAAGGCGCTAAAACGCCTGGATCTGCGACACACTCAAGTGTCCACGCAAGCTGTCATCAAGTTTGCTGCTAAGAGCGAACACAACTTGCATGTGACGGACGTTAAACTGGTGGAGGAAAAGAAGGTGAAAATTGAACTCGTGGACACGTGAAAGAGCATGACGCTCACTCGCGAAGTATTGTTCAGTGCAATCTGGTTATTATCGCGTAAGAACATCATTTGCAGAGAATTAGAGCCATAATAGCATGCTACGATCAGCGATTATTTATTTTACACGAGAGAATCTAGGTATCTTTAAAAGATACATCCTTATAATGCCACAGGAAGGACCTGACTAGTGTAGAATTTATATTTGGATAACATTTACTGTCACCGACATAAGACCAGACAGAATTTTAACAAGAACGATTCCTTCGCAACTTGGACTTGTTATTATTCCTTTTTCATTTTTCTTACACAAATTCTTATCTGTTCAATAATGATTTAGCAGATATATTTGCGCATATATTTCGCAAAATTACTGAATGTGTTTAAAACAAATGCTCTAATTTATTTGGATTTTTCTTTGCAACAATATTGAAAGAAGATCATCATCAATTGCAATTTTGTAACTTTTTATATGTATAACTAAAATGGATTATATCTATAACTAAAATTCAAATTGTATTAAACTTCATGAAATGAATTAAAAATTGTAATTATGTTATTCACTTAGCATAGGCCTTGTCAACTTCGGCTCCAGAGTCGCAATCTCCCTCCCTCCCTCCCTCCCTCCCCCTCCTCCAGGCTCTCGCAAAGCAAAACAGTCAGGGAACTGAACAAAACACGCAGTGGTGGCCGCAGCGTCTATTTCACTCAACTCCCATCCCATTTCACTAGATCCTGAAAAGCCGGAAGCACCGCGACTGCGGAGCCAAAGTTGGCGAGACCCGACTTAGCATCCTAAAGTTCTATTCCCTAGATATGTTATTAAATATACATTCAATTTACATACACGATTATAACACATATATATATATATATACATATATATGTGCATGTCATAATTGTACATATTTATATATGTATAGATGAATACATGTAAATATATTTTCGTTTATCTTGTATTAAATTCTGTTTAATTTCAAAATTTTGCAAAAAAATCATGTAAAATAATGGTAAAAGTACTGTTTATTCACCCTTATTATCTGTCTCGTACTTGGAATATTTCATAAAGATCTCATTATTTCATTTTTTCTTTTCTTTTATTTAACGTTATGCAACAGGTTGCTAAGGTACTTCGTATATTAAATTTGGAAAAGCGAATGGTAATAAAAGGTCATGGTATGTACTACATATGTAGAAATTCTGTTGGATCATTGTTCATGTCAAAAACAGTATTTTTCGCATAGGTTGTGACGATAGAAATTGCTGAAAATAAGTATTTATTTCGCACGAGTGTGAACAAATCTCGACCAAGAATTTGTCGCAAAAGCAATGTCCGTAATTACATAGATACACATATGTACACACTTGTCCATAAACGAAACATCTACGGAAATCAACTATGTCGTTCCGTAACATTAGCTCGGTGATTTTACGTGATAATCGAAGATAGTATGTACATGCTGCGAATTTTTATTTTCGACCTGAATTGCATCTTGTGATGTTCTACGCAAATCAATGTATATATACCTGCTTTTTATACATATGCACGTTTCAACTGCAACTTTTCTTTCTTCTTTCTGTTCCCTCTTTAAGTGTCCCACGTTCCGATTTCATGTAAAAATAACAGGAATGATAAGCGAACTAAGATATTGACGATATTGACTCAAGTGCCATCGTGCATCTCGTGAAATTATACATTCTCATCATATTCCAGCGTATCGAATAACGAATTCGTTGCGTATCATTTTTATTATAATATCTTGAAGATGGCATTACGGTGACAAACATCGTTCTCATAAGTTTGCGTGTCGCTATCATTGCGCTGGAGACATTGTCGCGAGCGCGCAAGTCGTTTTTTTTTTACATAATTTAAATTCCTTTCAGCAATTTAACACAAGAACGAAATCGCCACGATGTAACACATTGTATAATACATGTAACCCATAGAGAGCAATAGCGATCTCCGACTCTCAAATATAATTTTTATTTGTAAAAAGGTGGTCTATATAAATATTTTTCTCCTTCCTGTTCAAATTCTCCAATTTAAACTATTCTTGGATTGGTACTTTGAGGAATGAAACTCAACTGTGCGGGCGTGCAAATCCGTGGTGTGGTGCCCACGAAGATGCATGCGCATTCAGGAGTCTCGTAAGTCGTTCAATTAGAAAGTCGAATCCCAATAATTCTCGTTTCCATTATTCACCATACGCTTCCAGATCTCCAATTTAAACTATAATTTACAATAAAAATGAAAGCTATTTGCTCGAAAAGTTTCAAGAAAGAATCTATTGCCAAGAATAATATGTATCTAATCAGTTTCGTCTCCATGGGAGAATTTTTCCAAACAAAAATATAAATTGTATATCTTGCGTATTCTCTGGAAATATCGTGCAATTTATGAGATATATTAGTTAAATTTGTATTTTAGAATTCACATAAATATTACATTTACCTTATTTAAAATTGTGTAGATATTTAGTAGTTTATATAGCAATCGTAATTCTATTTATTTCAACAAGATAATAAGGGGTGACAAAAGGTTGAAAATAAAGGACGATAAAATCAAAATGTAGCGGAAAAATAAAAACTATTCAGACTCATCCAACGTAGATAAGATCTTTTCTGAAATAAAGAAAAACATCTTTTAATTTATATGTAACAATAAAGATGTAACATACAAAGTTTTCAAGCACGCTTTGTATAGTATAATGTTTACGATGCCTGCACGAGAAATAATGTTGCCTGCAGAACATATTGTCATAGCAAATTCCATCAGTTATTATGCGAACAGCGAAAATCTACGAACACAGATTTTTATTTGTCAAGTATTTTGTCAAAACGGCAGATTATTTATTATGAAAATAGCTTACTTATTCTGCAAGTAACACAATAATAGTTCGATTGCAGAGCAAATGCACTTGTAAGGTGAATATTTCACCTTATTTTAAATAATCGAACAACTAAATTCTTGATCTTAAAATCAATGGGGAACAGGAAAGTGAGCTTTAAGAGTCAAACGCGGTTATATTTGCGTGAATTACATTAACGTTATGTAGTACTTAGTTAACACTCCATAATAAATTGTCAACCGTTTCTATTCCGCTTTGAGCCATATATTCTTAGCAATACCGCGATAAAAAATCAAATAATCTCATCACGCTCTTCGACATTCAAAATTGTATGTACAGTGATAATGCATGAGGGAATATTCGAAATTATTATAATATTCACAGTCTAACAATAGAATACATTTGGAATAGAAATAAAAATCGCGAGTTTTTATATATTTTTTATTAATGCAATTTCATTGATTTTGAATGTAAAATTGTCACAGAATGCTTGCCTAAAAATACAGATGCGATTTCATTATCACTGCGGTCAATGTAATAAAATGTAATAATTATTCAATTCATTCTTCTAAAATTAATCTTCTCTCACGTGCTCGTATACGTAATTTGTTTCTTATCCAGTGACTATTCCTAATTGTATGTTTCTTTCCTTTACATCGTGTCGTCATCGAAATACATTAACCGTAAAACATGTGGTGGAAAGTAAATAAAATAATAGATTCTCGCATGTTTAATAATTGACAGTCAAGCTCATTCATTCGATCGATTCAAAGCACCAATTTCAAAAAATGTTTCAAGCCCACCTTGGGTTTGAACGTTAACATCTGGAGTCCTAAAATATCATAAGATTAAAATATATAAAGCGTTTATTTCATACAATAAGCTATTTGCTTCAATAAGCCATTACGAGAAGCATTGCGTTCGGTCAATAATTTATTAAAAAATATAGGTATGTGTAATTATTCTCGTAACATACAATTGTTTATATTTCAAAATGTAATATTTGCATGGTGTATAATTGTGTACGATACAATCTCTGCATATGGAAATATTCTTCGTTTATACTGTATTTAATCTAACCTAGTTCCGCCAAGACAGAATCAAGATCCTCCTGCAGGCGAATGCTATCTTCTCGTTGCTTCACCAGAGTGTCTTTGATCCTATCTACTTGCACTTTCAGTAGGTAATTGCCCTTTTTCAAGGCTGCCAGTCGTCCCTCGTGTTTTCTCACGTGCTTCTGAAAAGGAAATCGGACGTTCAGAAATAATATTCAAAAATTTTATTGTAATACCTTCGCCCGAGCAAGGAAGACTCACTTCCAAGTTGTTTTTACGTTTCTCAATAGGTGCTTGATCGTCGTCAGAATCGGACTCCTCTTCCTCTGATTCCTCAGACTCCGACTCTTCCTCCGATTCCGCTTCCTCCTCTTCCTCCTCGTCGTCCAGTTCTTCCTCTTCCTCGTCGACATCCCCCATGAGTTTCGCCATCTTGTCCACTTGCTTGTGCAGTTCCTTGTATTTGTTCTTTTCTTCTGCCAGTAATTTTTGCTGCTGTTTGATCTGCTCCTTCAGCGCGTGTCTCTCTTTTTTGGCATTTACAGCCTTATCCCTATTTAAACAATTTGTCATATAATTTTTCTGTATTTAATGTATTATCGATACGATCGCTTACCACGAGTTAAATGGATCTCGGAGATCTCGCACTTACTTGAAATTCTTAATTTTCGAAATGAGAAGTTTAATCTCCCTCTGCGCGCGTTTTTCCGCTCCGGCTTTAGGATCCTCGTCTTCTTCTTCTTCTTCCGTCGTCTCCTCTTCCTCCTCGCTCGTGCTGAGAACATCTTGTTTGTCTATACTCTTTTGCGTCGCGATCCTGGCTACGTCTTTCGCGCTTGGACAACCAGCCAGTGCCATTCCTGGAATATCATACCTCCATTATCTCTGTCAGCGTAGCTTCAATCAGCGCCAACTCTTCGCTTCGCTTTCCAAGCAAAGCAAAGGAAAGCGAAGCTAAGAAATGTGATTAGTATAAGCATCAACATAGAGCATAATAGATACGAGTTGCATGGAATTCATAACATTTCGTTTGAAAAGCGATTAAATTTAAGGGAAAGATGAGCACGCGATTAATATCGCTCAGTTAGTTTCAAGCCAAGCTACAATATTAATTACGTACCAGCTTTCATACGCTTTTCTAGCATGGCATACATTCTTTTCATTTCTTCCAACTCATTTTTAATCTTGTCTTTTTCCGCGGCAGCAGTGGCGAATTCTTTCTCCGCTTTTTCTGCGTCCTTTCTCGCTCGTTGCACTTCCTGCTTCAAGGATTCCGTGAGTTTCTCGTCCTGTTGCTTGCTTTCCTGAGCATTCTTTTGTGACTTCATATGTTCCGCTTCTGCCTCAAGATTCAAAATTCTCGCCTGCACATATTATCTCGGTAAGAAATTGTCTTCATTTTAAGCTGTTTATTTCTATTAGTTAAACCTCTAGCTATTCTTTAAACTCTTCAATTTTTTCCCTCGTTCGAGCAGATCGTTACCTTATTTGAATGAAATTATAAAAAGTTCCAAGTAAAATTATTATTAAAAACTTTCCCCAAAATACCAAATGTCAATACCTTTTTAATATTGTTACCTGCAATCGCTTATTGTCTCGTTCCAAGGCTTCTTTGTTCCTAAGTTCCATCGCGAGCATCTGCTTGGTGCTTTGCAAATCATCCCTAACGGCATCGATGTCATCCATTTCGTCCTGAATAGCAACGTCCAGCAACGGCGTTTCCTCGGCTTTTTGAATCTGCTCCTCGATGGTCATTTGTCGTCGGAATTTTTTCAATCCCTCCAGCATCGGCTTGGAGCGATCATTCGTCCTTACAGTCTTGAGCTTCACACCCTCCTGGATCTGTTTCAGCAGTTGATTGTGCATATTCGACTTTTCGGATTCGAATACGAAGTGGGCCTTGCCTAGCGAAGAGAGACAATCAGTCAGCATAAAAATAGATATACGTGTCGTTGTCACTGTGTTGTTATTTACTAGAGAAGTCGATACCGTGTCATTTTGATAATGGACAAAGTTCTTATGTACACGAAGTATTTAATATACAAACAAGAAACGAGTATGTTCTAAATTATAACATAAAAATTTACATACATTAGAGAAAAAGTGCAATATTCACGTATCATAAAGACGTATGCAACTCGTAGAATCACCTTTTTTTTGCTTATCTTAAAATCTAAATTTAAAATTACTTATTTTTAAAGATTGAAAAATAATAATAATTGTCGGCTCACTTTTCTTGAAATTCATTTGTAGCTAAAGAATGATGTTATATGTAGAATACTTCACTCAACTTGACGGACGTGTCACGTGGAATTTTACGACAACCATTAATTAATATTTAACGCTTTGCATCGACGTACGAGTCATCCATCTCTGAATGATGTTATCGTTTCTCATCGGAGACGTCGATTCAGAGAGTGAGAGATCCTGATTGCTGCTCGTTCGCGTGAAGGGAGAAAGGGGAGGGATGGGACGTTGGTAAACCCATTGAGAAACATGAAGACACCAGTTAATTTAACGGTAATCAATTAACAATTTAATTAGTCCAACAGTTTAACAATGGATAAACGATGGCTCGCCTATCGACAGGGATAGAGGTGATTTGGAGGAAAGGGCGATAGCGTCAAAACAATACTATTTGCGCTACAAACGAGACGCGGCGAGACGTGTTGTGTTAATCGAAATTTCGGCTTGCACGTCCAATCGAATGTGCTACGTCGCCGACGTCCCTTCAAACGATCACACGGGAAAAGTAAGGCGGAGGAAGAGGAGAAGCTCCGCGAAGCACAGTCTTTCTCTCTACGGCGATTTCTCTTCTTAAGGAGAGGACACTTTCTACAAGGGGGGAAGATACGGCCCCGTAGGCACCCGGCGGGGATCGAAGAGGGTTCGACGATCACCTGCTGGATCGGCCGTGACCTTGTTCACCCTCTCGATCAGGGGTGCGCTCCGATCGTTACACTTGACATGCTTGAGCTTCTTGCCGCTTTCGACCTCCTTCATCATGCAGGCCCAATCCGGCCGTTTCCTCGGCCTGGACTTCAATGCCTCCAGCTTCTGCATTTGCGTCTCGTTGAGGTCTGGCAGGTCTTTAAGGATCGTACGACTGGGTGGCGGTGGTGGCGGTCGCGGGGGTGGCGGTGGCGGAAAGTTCGCTCGCGACGAGCTCTTCGATAAAGTTGGCGCACCTTAGCATAGAGGATCCTCGTTATTCAGGGAAAGTACAGTATTACAGTACATAAAAGTTAGGGAAGATACAATTAAGAGATTTGTATATATACTTTTTAACTGCTGTAAATCTACGTATTCTTTAGTTTTACTTCACAAATATAGCTTTCGTTAAAGTCAGAAAGGGATATTTTGCGAATCTCTTATTTAATCCTTTCGTGATACTCTATGAATTTATATTGTTACATTTTGCTTCTTAATCGTGTCACTAACATTTGATTAATTTCATTTGATTTAATTATTAAATTGTTAAATAAATTTTGTCCCGTTTCTCTTCGTTTGTATCCGTCAGATTGTTCTAAATTCCGTGCCTCTACAATAATCTGTCTCTCTCACGTAATATCCACCGCGTGTGAAAAGTAAAGTTTTTCAGCAAAGATTCTAGAATTGCGGAAAAGACAATTCAACGTTTAATGACGGCTTAATATCTGAAAGGATTAAATGTTTGACATCGCAAATGATGTAATCTACAGGGAGGAATGGCATCGTCGCTCGTACCTGTGGTACTTTCACTCTTCGAGAGCGGTATAATGTCACCCCGTGATCGAGATCTGTCGATGCGGATCTGTCGTTCGAGTTGCGGCTTCGAATTTGGCTCCTGCCGTCCATTCTCGCGCGGCTTCGCTGGCACCGGTCGGCCACTCGGGATCTTTTCATTATTCGGCTGCTTCGGTATTATCGTGATTTTGCTCTGTTTACGCGGTCCATCTGACGAGGGTGCTGCCGACTCCGCGGGTTTCGGCACACTCTGTTAGACCGGAAAAGAAGGAACACTTGCTTAATTATTGATAGCACGAGTGCAATGTAAACATTTATTTTTATTAATTATTTTATTACTTGACCAGTGTTACTAAAATATTTATTAATCCTAGTGCTGATATTTATGTGTACGTATGCAGATAATAATATGCACATAAATTGTACATGACATTAATTATATGTAGTTCTTTTACAAAATTGTTATATATTTTATTTGATATATACGTATTTCTTATTATTTCATTACATTCTATTTATTATTTAAATTAATATCTTTCATTAAATTATTAAAACTGTGTTAAACAATATTATTTTTCACTCCCTTGACACACAAAAATTCCGTCGCAATTCAACGAGTCGAGTTTACGTTTTTGTATTAACAGGCACCTACGTCTCTTTTCGATTTACACTTCACGCTTTTGTCACATTTTTACAAATCAGTTTCTCGCGCTTTTTATATCAATGTGTTCTTTTCTAGGACCGTGCGACGTGAAGAAGAATACGAAAGAATAATTGTCGCACATCTTGCGTAAAGTAGCCGTGATAGAAAATAGAAAAAGAAAAAATCGCCCTCCTTCCAGCCCTCTTCTCTTGAGTGTCGAGAGAGGGGGAGGGGAGGGGAGGGGAAGATGGAAAGGGAGAGAGAGAGATCCAAAGAATTTTCTTGGCAAGTCTCGGAGAATTCGTTCTGCCGGCTTTAAATAATCCACATTGAATTTCGCACACGAGATGTCACGTTATTCCAGCTTTGATCGTCATCGATGCGGAGTTTCCACCTTTTGAAATAAACAGTCCAACCTTTCGGGCCACTCTCTTAGAGATTGTTGCCCTTTCCTTTTGTTCTCGTAAAAATAATTCGGCAGAAAATATATTATTCATCCGCGAAATCGCTTTCGATATAAATCCGCGACGTTGCACACGCGATTTTCAATCATGCTTCAAGCGAAATCACGGTATAAGCGCGTTAAGAAACTGGCGGAAGACGCAGCTGGCAAGACATTTGAAATAGAAACGCGTGTTCTTTAAATAATCGTGACCCAGAGGCTTATATGTGGTCACGCGTACGACGGATCTCACTTTCCTTCGTCGAGAAAACGAAATTGCAATTGATAAACACACGCGGCATGTCTGAAGACTTTAACGCACGGTCATGAACTACTTGCGGCAATCCGCAATTTTTCGAATAAATTTTTTATTTGTGTAGCTATAATGATCAGTTTAACTGCAATTAACAAACGCAATAAGACGAATGTCTCCAACTTACAATCGCTACTGCGAAATTCATGAGTAATATCATCAATTCTACATATATGTAGAGGAAAGTCCCCTATTGTAAAACCGGCTCCTAATATGAGACAGGTATCTCTACTAAAGTAACAGCTGGCATCGTCTGTTGGTTCCACATTGAATTTATTGCTCTTGAAGTAGAATCTATTTAGTGGAAAATTCATTGTTAGATTGTGTAATCGCCGCAAAAGAAGATTGTGCTTAAATTTGCATGAAAATCTGCTATCTCATATTACAAACCTATCTTATAATAGGAGACTTCCTCTAATAATAAAACAATAGTAAATAAACTAAAGAATTATGGGGTCAAGAATGGAAAAGGAGGTCTGAAAATAACTCTATATCTTTACTAATATCGTTCGCATGTGATAATTAATAAAGAATTGAGGTCTAATAAGGATTTATGCAAAGCACAACGCGATAAAGTCAATTAATGACGAATCTGTGGTCTGAACTTAGTTTGTTTTAGTAAGAATCTAAACATACACAATCAGAGAAACAATCAGAGATATAGTGACATAATGCCAGACGACGCAAAATCTTCACACGCCATCGCGATTTCGCGCGTCGCGTATCGAATATCAGGTCCGTGATTTTATGTGGAACGTCGCCAAGAGATTAAAAGTAATCGCTTGAAAAATTTTCCACGCTGAAGGGAAACAAACAAATAGGTACTGCAACAGTCTTAAGCCAACGGCACACGATACTATTTTTCCTACTGGATTGCTTACGAGAGCCAATCAGAATGCAGAGTTTTAGATCAGATGACTTAAGGCTGAATCCTGATTGGCCCTCGTAAGCAATCCAGTAGGAAAAATAGTATCGTGTGCCGTTGGCTTTAGACACGTGATTTTAAGTCGCTCTTATGAAATATCTTACCAGAGATTACATAATTTGATAGTGGACTACGGATGCATTTATTCATGATCTATAACTTGCATCGTTTGCGAGACTCGATAATTAATATCTAATTAATGACCACGTTTTCAGCAACGACAAACCGTGCTTACTGTTCCAATTGTCGTAACTTTTCTGTAAAGGGAACCTAAAGTAGCGAGTTTGTAAATCGGATGGATCGTCAAGATGCATTGTTTGCATACAACTGACCGTGTGGAACTTCGCGCCGCCCGAAATGTTTATCGAGCTTACACGTTGCAAGACACCCACGCCGGCTATTAATATCACGGTCAGTAAAGTCTGCTGACTTTGAAACCTAATATCTGAATGGAAAAAGACTGCGAAAGTTGCATAGACGATTGTCATTCTCGCTGGAAACGGAACGTGTTATTCAAATTCGGCGTGAACTAAAGCCGCGATTAGGCACCACCGATCCTTTCCACATGAATTTAGGCACACATAAAACACATATACATTTCCCGTGTACGTATGTACATATGTGCAAAATGTATAAATGTGTTGACATGTGCACAAATATACATAGAAAGGCAGTGAAATTTATTGTTTTCTTCAACTAAATGTTGCGATAGAACAGAGCCTCGATAAAAATATTATTTATAGGTATTTGATTATGAAAAGAGAAAAATGATTGAACTATTTAATAATTGTTTCAATTGAAAATTATATGTTTTCATAAATTCCTTCGAAATCCTCCACCCACCTTCAAGGTGACTTGAGAGAAGGCCGGAACTTCCTCAGTCTTCGGCTTGGAGTCCCTGCGGGAATTAAGGGTCCAGGGCGCGGCGGGCATGGGCAACGGGTTCGGGCCATCCTTGACCCACGGCGGTCGGAAGGTGGTCCTTTGCGGTGGCTGACCACCGGCGCCAGGCATCCTCGCTCAGCGTTCTCTCCGCGGCGGGGGATGATCCTGCTTCCGCTTCACCCTCGAGAACAACTCGCTGTCGCGAACCTTTGCGTCGATCACGCTCGCTCGCTGTTAATCGACGACTCGTCGGTCCACGCTGTTCTCCAAAGACGATCCCCTCGAGGACGTGCGCGACGCGCTACTGACGGACTCCTGGACCGGTGAGATCGCGATAGGCGGGGACCAGGCGTGGGCGAGATCGCTCGTGCGAACCACTCCTCGCGAGTGTGTCGTCCCGGGATCGGGAGCTTCGGATTCGTGGCTGCACCCTCCTGGAGAACGATCCTCGAAGATGCGCGATCGTCGACGGGCGGCACCGCGACGCCGATCGACTGCCGCGTACTTGTCGCGTATCTCCCCTTTCGTTCTCTCGTTTGACTAGAGAAGACGACTGCGGGGTCGAGAATTTTTGCGCGACTCCGGGAAAGATCGAGACCTGGACCGCGCAACAGGCGGACTGCACCTCCCTAACCGTATGATATTTTCGTCCATGTGACGTCATCGAGAGACACGAGCCCGAAATAGAAAGATGATCCTCTTCTCCTCTAGGACGCCCTCGACGACGTGCTCGTCGAGGCCTCCACCGTATCCGCTTCGTGTCGTCGACGTCCTACGACGCATTCCGCGTCTGTTTACGATGCAACCGCCGATCGCGACCAGCCACGAAGGCCAATCGATCTTCAGGGTCAGTCTAGCCGTAGACGGGAAACACAGCTTATTGTTAGACAGATGCAATTCGCTTCGAATAAAAGAGAATTTTAAAAAAAGAAAAGACTGCTCTTGCTATTTCGTATGAAAAAATACGTGTATATTACGTACAGAAAAAGTTGTTAGACGGTGCTTCATCTTCTTTCTATTCCTTTCTCAAATATCCATTCAAGAATTAAATATTGTATAAAATCGTAAGTGTATAAAGTGGCGCAAAAGAGCATAGTGCATTGGCTGAATATTGGTCCAATGTTGGTTATATTAGAAATGCATTAGTCGATATTGTCCAACGTAAAGCCAATATTGGCCCTGAAATAAATGTAAATATTGCACGACAATAATTATATAATATTAGATTTATATTGGAAGTGCATCGGCCAATATTTAACAATGTAATAACAATATTAGTCTAATATATATTGCAATATTAGACCAATATTGCTAAATAGACGTATTGGCTAAATAAGAAAAGGCGTCCATCTTACAATATTGGACCAATATTGGGAATACTAGATTTACATTATTTCCCGATATTGCGCCAATACGTTGTGCTACTAAGGAACATTTGTTATAAATATTCTTTGAATATATGCACAAACCTGTTAATGAAGAGCGAACAATTTTCAATTCAACAACGCTGCATATTGCGCCTATAATATATTTAAAATAATAATTAATATTTATTCTTATAAAGGGCCAACTTCAGCTTAATCTTTGTAGCTTTCCCATCTAGTTGATTAACAAACCAGTTTTATAATAAATGCACCGAAATAATATGGAGTCTTATAGCGAATTCGATTGCTGGCACTAGTGCGCACTGAGTGCATACTAAGGTTTCTTTACAGTCAATTAGATTTAACTATGTCTTAAATACGCGGTCAAAGAATATTTAGCCAAAAAATGGTCCATATGGATCCTATACAGATCGCTAGCAGCAGAGAGAAACCTGAGAGCGGCCACGCCGGTGTTTTACTTGTTACCGTTAAATGTTACAGTTAAAAAAATTTTACTTGCTACCGCTAGGTTGTTTCCAGCGTCTTACGCCCACTTTCATTTTTGAAACTTCTCCGCTTCGTCCATTTTCAAGCACTGCCGATAAAGAAAATAGATGAAATACAATTATAAAAAATTGCTCGGAGGGGTAACATCACTCTGAATTCACTTTATTATCACGTTCACAAAATCCCCGACCGCGTTCGTGTATTTACAGCCTCGTAACAGGATTATATATAATACTTTTTCGTTAATTATAACAGAGCAATCACAGATCACATTGGAACTTCGCCGATCTCCCCATAAAGGAAATAATTTATGTAGATAATCATTAAGTGTATATTAGATAATTAGTCGCTACAAAATATATGCCCGATCCTTGTAAAAGATCCCATAAGAGCCTTATATTATATTTTTATTTCTCCCGCGCAAGATATAATTTATATATTAACATTATAATTACTACAAAATATCATTTTTATACACTATCTCGCCGTTCTCCCCGTGGAACAAAAATAATTTATGTAATTATAATATCAAGCGCTCTAGAAAATGTGCCCAATCTTCGAAAGAGATCTGGTAGAACCCTCAGACTCTACGAAGAACGAGGCCAGACGAAAGTTACGCGCAAAAGGCCATTCGATATTAGAGAGAAGTTATAAAACGATCGCCCGGTTCGTTTTCGCAAAGAGAGTCCTTGTCACACGTATGCTTAGGAAGGTACAAAAGAACCTGTATAAGGATAAGTAGATCTCCGATATGCTTTGCAACGCTTCTATGTCTTAATCTCGTCGGCACTTGGACCCGCGATAATGACGCTATTATTGGCAGCAATAGCCGTTTCCAGCCGGTGATCGTTCTGGTGTTTCTTCATCGTGTGATTGTTAGTCTTCTTACCGGTCAACATCATCAAATCCGAGTGTATTCTGAAGTGCAATCTAGATTCCAGTAAATAGCCCGTATAGTTTTTCCTGAAATTTAAACGCGGTTAATTTTCAACGTAAAAATCAATATTGAATACGTAATGTAAGATCCAAACTAACTTTGCGTCTTCCAAGAAGCCTATGGCCAGCTGAGTCTCTCCCTGATCTTGTGCCAATAACGCTAATTCCACGGTAGCATAGGGAAATAAGTACGTGTCCTCCTTGACAGACTTTTCCAGTTGCAAAACGCCTCGCAGACACTCCTCCGCCAATAAAGGATGCCGCATTTGTCGTAGACAGGCGCCCTTCAGTAACAACAGGAGTGCTTCGTTGTCCGCGTAATATTCACTTTTCCTGCACAGTACATCGCACACATCTATTACATTACGTGTAAATTACTTGTAAAAGAATAAATTATAATAACGAGAATGTATTTTGCATTTTCCTTTAATTGTGAGAGTCTTAGATAACCAAATCTGTCGAAAACAAATATGCAAAATATCTCAATGTTATCGACAGAATGCTACAAAAATATTGCAGAATTTATTAACAGAATACGATTGAAGATTGACTACAGAAACCTGCTGTTAGATTATGTCGATGCTCTATTAAACACGAGATCAATCTGCTGGCAAACTGTTGATAATATTTCGTCTACTTCTTTTCTTTTAATTTTATCTGCATATCTAATTAATATTAATCTTTATCAAGTCATTAACAATCATACGTTTGACAACACGCACTTATGCTGAAATAAGAATTAGAATCGTTGGTGAAACTTACGGAACTGCTTTAAGTTCCCTTTCCGCTTCTTCTATCCTCTTGAATATATTCAATATCAGATCCGGCCGCTTGCCTATTATCCTGAAGAGATTCCACACGTACATAAGCTCAAACACGGGCACGACTAGGTCCTTTTGTGCAAAATAACGCTCCGTCTTCTTGATCACAAACTTCTCCATCGGCAGCGACTTGCCGGCGATGCGCTGCTTATAAGTCGGCGCCTGCATCATCAGGCTGTCGATCTGCAGTTTCTCCTCACTGCAGCGCGACGGTTTCTGCATGAGCAGGATCGCGGCCTTCTGGTACAAGTAGATGGTACGCGACCAGTGGGATTCGTTCGCCAGCATCGCCGCGTACGTGACCGCCTTGCCCCACTGCTGCATCGAGCAGTGCGCCCACATCAGTTCCCAATAGCAGAGATGATGGAACTGTGGCCAAACGTTCTGACTTTTCCACGACTTTATGTACCAGTCTACGCACTCTTCGAAATTGCCCCGCGTGAGTTCTAGCCTTCCCTTGAAGAACAGGAACCACACACCGTTCGGATAGATGCTCAGCTCCTGCGCCAGCACCTGTTCGCACCAGTCCAGATCGCCGTCCGTGTGGCTCAGTACGAAGGTGACTATTAAATTGTAAGACAGCAGAGTCATCACGCACATGACTTGTCGCAAGCCTTTCCTCTCGTTGTAGCCCATTTTCAATTCCGTTAGACCGTATTCCTGCAACAGTCAGGCGAATGAGTAAAACTATACATTGCAATATACTCTTGGTAAATAATTTTAATCACCTTATCGCCGGAGAATCCAATAAATTCTAATAATTTAATAACACGTGCCGGTAGCAACGAGATCATCTGAAAAATACGATCTCATAAATATATACGATAAGAGAATAGTTATCAAAATAAAAAATATATATATATACATACCAAATTGAACGTGCCGATGCCCATTCGAACGCCGCTTTCGAAATGCACTTTGTGAATATCGCTTCCCCACTTTCGGTTTTTCAAAATCGTCATACACTCCCTGCAAGAGACAATAGTTGTCAACGGTTGGGAAAAACTCGAGAACATCGACGAGAGTCCGTTGTGACTTATTTACTTGTACGACAGAAAACAGGTACGAATTTTCAGTCCTGCCTTGACAAAGCTGACCAGAGTCTCGTCCTCCACAAACGTGAGCATCGATTTTAAGAGGAGCGACTCGGCGTAACAGAGCTCCGCATGCACCTCCTCTGTAAGATTAAACCTCGGTCATTCCTTTCATGCACTATACGTTACGTGAAAGCTACCCGGTTATATCTGGGTTAATCGGTTGCTACAAAAATGTACGTTGTAAATTGCAATTGACAATAATTTCCATTAATATTAATGCGACAAAAAATTTGCACTAGCAAAGATTGTGTCGTAGACTATTAAAGTTGATAAGGAAACACTAACAGATACGTGTTAGACGGAATCAAAGTCTAAGATACTTTGCGTTAATATTTGTTGGTAAATCTCTCTATAAAAGATCTTCTAAGAGCTTCGCTTGTTATCGAAATTACTGTTACATTATAAAGAATTTGATGTCATTTTTGTTAGGCAACACTCGTTAGATACGCAACCAGCAGTTACTGCATGCCACTTTATACGTATACGCGATACACTACCGTTCGTGTAAGCGTCGTAGTTAATCTTCTTGACTATTTTTCCGATGTTCTGCGTAATGGTGTTGTGCTTTCGGTGTTTCGAGCACACGCTCATGCACTGCTTCAGCATCTCCGACGCCTTCTCGATGTGTCTCTGCACACAACAGAATTGTTGAAGATGACGTAGCCAGGATGAATAAAAAATTACTCGAATACTGCAAAAGGCACAACGGAAGGAACGTGATAAATAATCCAAGTACTTGTTCGAACGTAAGAATCGCCTCCAGGAACGTGAATATGCAAGCCCCGAGAGAATGGTACATGCTGCTGTCCGCCCATGGCTCCAAGATTTTTTTCGCCTCGTCGAAGTCGTTGTTGAAGAAGCAGTGAATCGCCTTTTTCGACTCCATTATCGCGGTATCCAAGTCCATGGACGCGAGCCTGAAAGTCAAGAAGATATGTCTTCTTGAGAGATTTGCGGCGCCAGAAAAAGAGAAGCGTTGATATAATGCGCAAACAATTAAGTACGATACGCATTGCGGCAACGAAGTTGGTCGTGAGCGGGAGATTATTTTTCCTTCTTAACAAAATTAAAGAAAAATAAGCAATCGATTGCGCTAATATTCCGAGGCAAAAGATGAATTTTTTTCTTTCGGACAGACTTCCGCGGAGCAGAGAAAAACCTAACGTACAAATTTATGTAATACGTACTGCGGTAGTGATTCCTGAGCATCTTGAAACTGAAACGCAAAAAGTCAGATAAGTACAGTTATTAGAATGCGGATGCAAACGGAAATATAAAAAGACAATTTCGATAAATATCTACCTCGTCATCGCCTTCGACGTCGGACATGTTTAGCTGATGACAAGGAACTGCTCTGCAAAGAGAATATAATTTAGCAAAAATTGAGTTTTTCCAACACATGTATTGTTGTTCACTTCAACTTCTATAATCTACGTTGGACTAATTAAAAGCTGTTGACAAAATATTTTAGAAAGCTGATTTTCTTTTACAATTCAACACGTGTATTTTTATTTACTTGAACTTGTACACTTGTAATCTACGTTTGGACTGATTAAAAGTTCTCGCGCTGCTGTCAAAATATTTGCCGCGCCAGGCTAAAACACGGCAGCAAAGCGCACTCTTTTATATCAAGAGAAACGAGTCGGATGGAAAAAACATTACACTTAGAAAGCTGCAAATCGATTTTAAATTACATTTAGAAAGCCACGAGGCTAATAATCCGCCAAGCGTAGGTGCACCGGCCTGTGGAAGAATACTTTCCGGTCTCGCCGAGACTCGACTGCGACCTGTGAACAACGATAATGCAATCAATTGATAACGTAATCCGGAATGAGATAAAGTCTGCCTGGGCATTTTATTTCAAAGGACGTGGAAAGCCCTCGCGCGAGCACGACGCTCGTGGAAAACGCAGTCGCGAACCGCCGTCTCGTTCTAATGCACAGGTCGAGATAAAGGCGATATTACCTGGCGGTAATCGACAAGCCGTAACGATATAATTACGCGGATGATTATAGTGGATAAGGGAAACGGGCACGTTTGCCTGTGCACTGCACAATCGCGCGACACTTACTTACGCGATAGCCGTTGAAACGGAGCCCTGGCCTATACCTGTCTACCTCGCGATACTTTTAATTGCAAATTTCTAATCCACGCTTATTAATATTGAAGACTAAACGCTCCAGGATTTGCGCACGGGAATCGTCGTCGCGTCGAGGAAAATCGCACCGCGGACGAAAGTTCGTCTCGATACCAGCGCGTAATGAACAATTTAACTTTCTTATCCCTCCTCGGGCTCCGTTCACCAATTTCACTCGGTGCGGCGAGTCGAAACGGGGCTGCGAAGCCCCGCGAGCGGCCCTCGTTAGGGGAGCGGGAAACTCGCGGGCAAAAGCGTGACGGAGCGCGATGAATGGGGGGGGGACCGTCGATCCATCCCGGGAAAAGTGTTCCTCGACGAAACGAAGGGTACGTTCCGTTTCACGCGTGATGCATCGTTTAGCCCTTGCGGAAAAAAAACACTCGATTGTCCGAATTTACTCTCAAATTTGGACGTAAACGCCCAGATTTAAATATTTACAATAACAGGGATTCCTTACGGAAAAAAAAACACTTGAGTTTTGAGTGTTAACACTCGAGTGTCCGAATTTACTCTCAAATTTGGACGTAAACGCCCAGATTTAAATATTTAAATATTTACAACAACAGGGATTCCTTACGGAAAAGAACAAAAAAAACACTTGAGTTTTGAGTGTTAACACTCGATTGTCCGAATTTACTCTCAAATTTGGACGTAACCGCCCAGATTTAAATATTTAAATATTTACAACAGGGATTCCTTACGGAAAAGAAAAAAAAACACTTGAGTTTTGAGTGTTAACACTCGAGTGTCCGAATTTACTCTCAAATTTGGACGTAAACGCCCAGATTTAAATATTTACAATAACAGGGATTCCTTACGGAAAAAAAACACTTGAGTTTTGAGTGTTAACACTCGAGTGTCCGAATTTACTCTCAAAGTTGGACGTAAACGCCCAGATTTAAATATTTAAATATTTACAACAACAGGGATTCCTTACGGAAAAGAAAAAAAACACTTGAGTTTTGAGTGTTAACACTCGATTGTCCGAATTTACTCTCAAATTTGGGCGTAAACGCCCAGATTTACGTATTTACAATCGAGTGTTGACGCTCAAAACTTGCGTGTTTTTCTTTCCGGAAGGGATCCCTGTTAGTCACCAAATGTTAAGGAGGGATAAACGGTGCATCGTGCGTGTCATGCGTGAAACGGAAGACGGGCGACACTTGACGTTCCGTGGCACGTTCCGCGGCGCGAATCGTCCCCCGCGATATCGCGAGGGGACGCGAGTGGCCTCCGCCGAACCGGAGAACGACCTTGTCCGCTACACTCCGTCGAGGCGACCTGGCGGTCTCACCGGGTCGTTTTCAGGAAACGCGGAGAGACACGCCGCCGACAGCAGACAGCTCCGGAGGCCGAAGGCGCCGCGACTAATTCGCGGCCGGCGCGGAGCGACTTCGTACCCTCCGCACGTGGAAAGTAGACTGCCACGAAGAAAGTATAGGCAGGCTAGACCTACATTTCCTAAACCCGCGCACGGCGGCGAGGAGTGGAGAGAGGGAGGACAAGGCGGAGGGGGAGGAGGACGGAGAAAGCGCGCGCGCGTGAACCTCGCGAACGTTTTTGCGGACGCGCGGCGAGAAGAGGCAGCTCTTATCAGCGATTTTCAAGGGCGCGACACCGCGACGCGATCCACGGCGATCGCCCCCATGTTTATGGTCGATATTGATCTTCGGCAGACGGCAAGGCCAAGAAGAAAGGAGGAGGAGGCCCCCACGTGCGGCGCGAGATCGCTACGAGATCGCGATAGGAAGGAGATGAACGCGGATCGATAGGTCGCGGGGAAACTCGTGTTCCCATCTCCAGGACGACGATTTCCATTTCCTATCGTACGTCGCGCCTGGAAATTGAAAGGTGACTCGTGACGCCGCACGATGTCCAACGATTTGAGGAAAAGAGAGAGGCTAGAGAGACGGAATTGACTCTCGACTTCCCCCGCGTGCCCGTCACCTGTACGCGAGAAGATAAGATTGTCTCGTCGAGTAGTAAGAGATGCGACAGAAGTCGGAGAAGAATTCCTTGGGGTCAATCCTGTGTCTTATACCGTAGCGAAAGTGCTGAGTGGCTTTGTCTCTTTCCTAGCCGTTCCCTAAAGCCTTGTGTCCACGATTCAAGAACTGTATCCAAGTTTCAGTTCCGAGAAATGCGTAGCCAATCACCTTGCAACTTTTATGGAATAGCTGCACGTTGATTGGCTACACATTTCTCGAAACTAGAACTTGGACCAAGTTCTTGGATCGTGGACACAAGGCTTTAGAAAGAGGCAGACCCCGTTTAAAATACTAAAATATCGTCAGATTGCATGCAATTTCAATGTAAATGAATGAGACTTTATTCACATTTAAATGGCACGTAATCTAATTATGTTCTATCCTAATATTTTAAACAGGGAAGCCCAGCGAGAAGACTCGTCGAGCGATGTCGAAGCGATATGGGATCGACAGCCACACCGTCAAATTGATGTGAAATCGACGGTGAATTTGACAATGTCGAATCAACATCAACAAATTCGACGTCGATCGACGAGTCATTTCTCGCCGAGTAGTAGCACAGTGCATGGACCAAGCATTGGTTAAACCTTGGCCCAATGCAACAACCCAGAGAACATTTTGCGCGCAAACATCTGGCATTATGACGACGCACTTGGATAGAATTTTGCTTGCATTTTTATACGCGAGTTGACAGATATTTGCGCGCAAAATTACACGTTAATACACGAGCTAGCCATCTTGCGTGCGAAAGCACAGACTAAACATATCTTGCGGACAAAACTCGGGCAAATCTCATACAAATTTGCATGCATAAGACAAGCAAAATTTGCGCGCAAGAATTCTTATCTGGGCAGATATTGGGCGAATGTTTAACCAATGTTTCGTCCCTGTACCGCGCTACTAGGGTGGGCGCTCACTTTAACATTTTCGCTATACGTTGCAAGCAAGGGCGTCCGCAGAATTTTTTCCAAAATATTACTTCCAGAATACTTATATGATTTCCAATATATACTTACACCTTTTGGTAAAAGCTTTCTCACCGCCACAAGGTATGCCAAATAGGCCAAATTTTTTGCCGATTCCAAATTCTGGGGGGGGGAGCAGATGCCCTATCTTGTCCCCCCCTCACGCCCTTGGTTGCAAGATACAAAATTGATTTACATCTACGTTTGCGCTTGATCTTCGGGGGATCAAACGGCCGATTCTTCCGCAGAATCCCCGGGATAGCTTCTGACATTTCCCTTCGTCCCGTTTACGATACAACGCCGATCTCGCGGGCAGCGCGTACGACGCATCTCGATTACTTATTCGCGTTGACGGACACAATTATCTTCCGTGTCGCGCGACACCAGCCCGGCGTGGGCGGCTCGGGAGTGGGGCCGAGTACTCGCGGATAATTTCGGGCGGCCGTTGACAGCCGACGATAAGCCCGAGCGGCGTCGCGCGACCCTCGTTCGCAGCCCACGCCGTCGAGATCAATTAACGGCCGAGGGCCCGAGAGCGGGTTGACGAGCCCTCGCGCCGTTTCCACCAAGCCCCGCGCGATTCCCGCGACGCGTACTCGCCGGGCACGGTTACGCGCGTAATCACGGCGCGGGGTCGATCTCCATCAATAATTCATGCCAAAATAGAGCGCGGTGCGTGCGTGCACGGCCGCCCCCGCCTCGTTGAAAACGGCGAGTGCCACGCGCGCGGGAGGACGCGGGGTGGACGCGGCTGCGAAAATCGATCGCGCGCGCGCGCGCGCGACCAGCGAGACGGAAACTGACGGGCAGACCTGGCCGTCGCCGCGGACCCGGTGCGAGTCTAGCGGCGGGTCATGTGGGGCACGTGCGCGCGCGAGCGATCCGGAGGTGCGTGACGTCGTCGGGTCGCGTGTCGCGCCGGGAAACGGGAATTCGCACGCACGGGCCGCCCCCGAGCTCCGTGAAGCCGGCAGATTACCGAGTAGCGCCGAGAAACGCCGAGCAGCACCGAGTAGCGACGACGAGCGCGTCCCGCGCACCACTGACGCCGTCGACGGCGACGAGCGACGCGGATGGGCTCGACGCCGCGGCACGTGACCGTCCGCGGATCGCAGGCGCCCAGGATCGTACAGTTGGAAAATTTGTTTTCTCGCCGAAGAGAATGCCGGTTCAAACGTGTTAATTTAACATATCGCTCTTGTGTTAATTGGCCTCGAATGTAAAATTAGTAAAGTCGAACAGAAATGTTAAACCAACACAATGCGTACTTATTTTCTAATCTCACACAATACATATGTTCTATATTATTAGTAACAAGATTGGTATCTGTTAAAATTTGCAGAGTAAAAGGTCCATTTTATTCCACAGGGTGAATAAAAAGTACCGGGCCGGTGACCCAGTGGTCGTGAAAGGATTAAGTTTACGGTTCTTCCCAGCAACGTACACAGGCGACACTGTAACGCAGTGTTACAGTGTCGCCTGTGTACGTTGCTGGAATGATTCTCTGTATTACACTGTGTCAATCTTTTGCTAGAAAGCATCGTCAGTGAAGAGGAAACTGATCCTCGATGTAGGCTTTGACGCCTCGTCCCCGACGTTTCTTTCCTTTGAACCTACGTACGCATCGACGCTCGGACTAATGATCATTAATTTGAATGGCCGTTGCGAGAGGAAGAGTTATTAAAAAAAAAATGCAGAGTCAACGTTCAATGATCAGGGACTTTCGACAGAGACGTATATGTAAGAGACGCACGTTCGGGCTTTCGAGAGGAATTCGATTTTTTTCGCCAAGATTTAATTCTCGATTAGATTGCAAACGACTAATCAGAGACATAAAATTTCTTTGCAGATTTAATTGACTAAATCTCGTACGTTACGATCTTGTCTAACCGGGAAAATTTTCTGCTATCTCCCTGCGTCATGCGAATATCCTCTTTTTCCAAGTGACGATTCTTATCTTGCGAATTGTCTTGTGTCGGAAGTAGATTGTAAGGAATCGTCTCGAAAGCCGGAGATAACATGATGGAAAATAATTCCGCCAAATGAGGCAATCAAGCCGTAGACGTCAAACACCGCGATTATGCACTGTGAGGAAAACAGACATAATATATCTAGCATTGAGCAGTGAACAAGAGAAAACGAAATAGCACAAGATAGGATTCCCTTTTCTACGTGAACCTCTACCCCCACTGCTCAAATAAAGGCAAACGCTCGGTCTAGATATGTTATGTCTATGCAGAAAAACAAGAGTCGAATCGAGCGAGTGTATTTACATCTACTCGAATAGTTTAGGTTTAGAGCAAGAAGCCAAGGGGGTCAATTCTGTACCTTGTAACATAGTGAATATGGTAAAAGTGAGAGGCTTCGTCTCTTTCTAAGGGGACAGTCGGAAAGAGACAGAGCTACTCACTTTTAACATTTGCATTACAGTGTAAGATACAGAACTGAGCTAAAGATCAGGAGCAGATGTCCCCTCTGAATTTTTGGCGCGTTTACAAGCTCGGCGAGAAACGACTTGTCGATCGATGTCGAAACGATGTCGAGTCGACATCGATCGACGAATCATTTCTCACTGGGAGTCGACGGCGCGTGTTTCTGATGCAAACAAAGAAACAGAGGAGAGATTTCGAGGCAACGGGCTGCTTTCTCACAGTTCTTTCTGCCGTCGTGAGGAGAAAATAAAAGCTATAAAGCCTATCGATCCAACATGTAATACTATAGAATATTAAGCGTTCGAGTGTTCGGAAAGGACGAGTCAAGCTAAAATCTGCCGCGAGCGGCAATTGAGGCCGTTTGAAACGAACGACCGGGGAATCGACGCGATTTCATGACGAGCCATTCTAATTGTATTTACGATCACCTGCGCGCGCACATACGTTAAAGTATAACGTACATGTCCCATTATAAAGTATAGTGCAAATCATAATTACGGCCTGCCTTCAACTCGCGAAATTATTACATAATTTCTACCTTCGCGGTCACAACATCCGCTCTGCGTTGTGCATTTTATAATCGCTTCATGTAAATCCCGTGCACCTCGCTAATATTCACGAAGATCGATAAAAACTTGTCGCTCGAAACAAATCACGGTCATCTCGCTCTTATACTTTCCCCACGCCTACCGTTCGCCTTCTTATCGCACGTCCCTGTTTAAAATAATAGATAGAGTACGATCAGATTACATCAGATAACGTGCAGTTTTAATTCAACTAAATAAGAGTCTTATTAATTTATATTGAAATCGCATGTGATCTGATCTTCAGTGTAAATTAACAAGACTCTTACTTATTTACACTGAAATTGTATGCAATCTAATGTAATCTGATCGTATTCTATCTAATATTTTTAACAGAGGTGGCTTTGTATTCCGCTGAGAATCTAGCGGGACCTTTGAGTCGCAAATACGTCAGAAACCATTGTCTCGCTACGTAAATGTGAGAAGCGTTAAACGTAATTCGGTATAAAATTATACTAGCAATCGTCACGCAACGCGTATACGTGTCGCAAATAACCGATAATGCACTTTAACATATTCGCGGATATGAGTCACGAAATTAAACGTATCAGAAGAGCACTCGAGGATCTGGCGAGGTATTTTTCAATCGGCGTTTTTTAAAACAATGACAAGTTTTAGCTTTAAATAGAATCCGTCGAATTGGCGTCGCTCGAGAGGAATTCTTTCCCTATGTTTCGAAAAGAATTCCACTGAGGTGTACGCACATCTTTCGCGAGTTTTCATGGACGTAAATTAAGGTCGCTACGAATGCAGAGAATTCGCTCTGTATTCCGAAAACGAGCTCGGAATTGGCGACGCAAGGGCGAGCTCTCGTTGAGGGACGTTCTCAGAGTGGAAACGGGGTGTACATTCATACAAGGGATTCATTCCCACACAGCAAAATTAATATATCTGCGACTTAAGTCAGAACAAAGAGAATTACAAATATTTTGTAATTCTCTTTGTTCTAACACTATTCCCCTTGAATTCATAAAGTTTACATTTATTGAATTCGAGATGAATACTTTAAGAAGTTGTCAGGAAAACGATTTATGGTGCATGTAACTTCCTCTGTCACTCTTATTGTATTCTTCTATGAATTCCTAAAGAATTACAATTCAGAAAAAGAAAACTTAAAGAATACTTTGTGAATTCAGTGTGCTATCTGGGGACATTGTAATATTTAGATATCTCGCAGATATCTTTGACATCCTTTGCCGTGTGGGATTTCACAAATTCGGGAGCCCGAAAACAAGTCTTCCCGGATTTTCCGCGCTATCTGGGTCGAGAAATATAAACAATGCGAGTCCACGGGCGCTTCCTCGCAGTTCTCTCTCTCTCTCCCTCGCTTTCGGGCGCGCGCCCGTCGCGTTTCGTGCTATCGTGCAGATCGTGCTCCGCGCCGAGACGTCGCGGCTGACAAATGGCACGGGAAGCGCGGCGATGCGAGAAGGAGAGGCCGCTGCTCGTGGCGGCGGCGCTCGCGTGACTCCGACGGCCGCGCGTCAAAATATTCGCGTACCTGCTCGCCCGTGCGAGCAGAGTCGCCGCGCGGCGTCTTCGGGAGCGTCCCGGGTCTGGACGCGCGAGGAAGCCGAGAGGAACCGGCCCAAGATCGCGATCTACCGTGACGACGGCGACGTTGTTGTTTTTGTTGTCGTCGTCGTCGCGACGCCGCGGCGCACAGGCGGCACCAGCGGCCAGCCAGGAGACACCTCGCTCCGGATCGTCGACGGGAAAGACGGGAAATGTAGGCAACAGCTCCTCCCCGCGTCTCTCGCTCCACCTCTTCCCTCCTATCCGCGGCCGATTCTGACGCGACTTACGCAACATAACCTTCTCGGCCCGGGGACGGCGAGACTCCCCGCTGCGCGACACGTAGACGTGTCCCCGTCCTCCTCTTCCTCCTCACCCCCGCAGTCGACGTCGCGGAGACGTGCGTCCGTGCGATTCGGTCGCGGGAATGAGCGCCGCGACGTCGGGCGCGTCCTCGGGAGATCATATGCTATGACGATGTCTTCTTCTTCTTCCGCTCCGCTTCTCGCCGTCCCTGCCGTTCCCGTAGTCTCGTAGGCGTCGACGGGCCTCGCTTGACGTCGCGCTCGTCACGTGTATGAATCCAGCGGGATTCGCGTCGACTCCCCGGCGTCTCCGTAACGTCGAGTTTTCCGCTTCTACGTGCGCGCTCGGTGCACTGTTGAAATTCATAGTGTAGTAATTATACAGCGTTTAAACTTTTATATATATATGTTTATATGTATATGTAGTTGTGCGTGTCCTGCTGCGCGTCTGTTTTGCCACGCGAATTGCGACGCGACGATGACGCCTGTAACGCTACAGCGGAGCGCTCTTGGTTCTTGCAGATCCTCACGCCGTCACCGCGGTGGTATGAGGAACGATCCGTGCCGCAGCGACTGCGTTGGTAGATCACCAGGTGCGAGCTAACTTTGCTTCCATCCGCTATGGAGAACCAAGGTTACCACCAAGCCATCTCGACCCACCAGTCCTTCTGGAAGAAAAACACGCGGGCTGTACCAGGAAGGTGTGCACTTTTGCTCTCTCTCTCTCTCTCTCTCTATCAACGAATTCGGTTGCTCGCACTAATGCGCACCGAGTGCGCGCCAAGGCTCGTCTATAGTCAACTCTCAAATTTCTCACTTTCCACGAGATCACGCCAGAGAAGAAGATTCACGACGGAGCCCCAGATCACTTTACTCGCTATTTCAAGAGATATTCGAAACGATCCTTAAATATAAGAATTGACTGTAAACAAGCCTTAGTGTGCGCACTCGCGCAAGCAACCGAATTCGCTACGTGTATTCGAGGCTCTCCAGGGCAGCTTTTACTAATCGCGATCTCTCCGAAGGCCGAGCCTGAAGCAGGACGTCAGGCAGGGCAAGTTCAACCCCGCGGCGATCGGGTCCGGCAATCTGGCCGGCGCTGCCAACAGCAGCGGCGGCCACAGCACAGGCGGCAGCGGCGGCTCCACGTCCTTTCAGGACTTTCAGGAGAGCGTGGACGACGCGTGGGACTCGGGGGACGATGAATTCTGCACAGTCTCGGATGTGAGGATATCGAAGAGGGTCAGCCACTCGGCGGCCCTCAGCGTTATCAACAGTCATAGATCCGGCAACAAGTGTTCACAGCCGGCCCAGGCGAATGCCAAGGCGGTCCAGCGGGAGATCATCCCCGAGGAGAAGAAGGCGGAGGCTCTGCAGAGGCTGGCGGTGCAGCCGCTGCATCTGCGCAACGTCAACCTGCACTCGCAGCTGATCAACAGCCACCACTCGGGCGAGGACGCGGACTTGAGGCACGGCGCGTCGCCCCAGCACAAGCCGACGCAGTTCCCCGGCAGGCCGCAGCCGCTGAGGCAGGCGAATGCACCCAATAAGTTTTTTATACCTTCCAAGGAGCAAGGTGCATATATGTTCGTTACACATCTAGATCTACAACGTGTGCTCTTTGCGTCTAGAAGCATATTCTATTTCGTAGACGATGAGTAGGTTTCAAAAATTTCGGGGAGCGCGCTTTTAGCGCTAAAAGTTTCTTCTATCTTTGTTCGACAGCGAGTGATAAGATAAACTGATGCTTTCAGGGCTAATAACATCTCGCCGAACGCAGCCAAAGTTTAACAAACACCCGTAAATCTATTTCAGACGGCGAGAGCAAGGTGGACAAGTTTCAGTTACTTCTGGAGGCGTCCGTGCTGAATCTAGACGAACTGAGGCAGCTATCGTGGTCGGGCGTGCCAGCCAAATTGCGCTCCGTCACTTGGCGGTTATTGTCTGTAAGTAGACGAGGTGAAACGCCGCCGCGAAAGCAATCAAGCGATCACGATCGTGACGTTGCAGGAGTACTTGCCGGCTAATCTAGAACGTAGGCAGCTCGCCTTGGAGCGCAAACGGTTGGACTACTGGAACTTGGTGAAGCAGTATTACGACGTCGAGCGAGACGAGGGCTTTCAGGACACGTATCGCCAGATTCACATCGACATCCCTAGAATGTCGCCGCTCATCTCGCTGTTCCAGCAGACGACGGTGCAGCTAATATTCGAGAGAATATTGTACATTTGGGCGATCAGGCATCCCGCGTCCGGTTACGTCCAGGTATCTGGCGTAGAAACGTGTCTTTCGTCCGTCTCATTGCGCGTTAGAAGATTCGCGTATCGTAACTTGACACGTTCATTGTTACAGGGTATGAATGACCTCGTGACACCCTTCTTCTTGGTCTTTCTGCAAGAAGCGGTGCCGATACAAGCCTGGCAGGATTTAGAAAATTACGACGTGGCGTCGTTATCGAAGGAGCAACGTGATATTATCGAGGCCGACAGCTTTTGGTGTCTGTCCAAGTTCTTGGATGGTATACAGGACAACTATATATTTGCTCAGTTGGGGATCCAGCATAAAGTGAATCAGTTGAAGGAGCTGATACAGAGGATCGACGGTGAATAGTCTGCTAAGGATTCACTTTGTCCGAAACGTTTGTCCTTTTCTGAAATATTTTATAACGCTTTCAGCCCCGTTGCATCAACATTTGCATCAGCACGGGGTGGATTATCTGCAATTCTCCTTTCGGTGGATGAACAACCTGCTAACCCGGGAAATCCCGCTTCACTGCACCATCCGGCTGTGGGACACGTATCTGGCGGAGTCCGACAGATTCGCCTCGTTTCAGCTCTACGTGTGCGCGGCCTTCCTTCTTCGTTGGAGGCGACATTTGCTCTTGCAACCTGATTTTCAAGTAATCCATCCGCCAGTTGTACGCCGAAATCTCGTATAAAATGAGGCCCGACCGGTTGTCAATTCTCCCGTGATTGCAGGGGCTAATGTTAATGCTACAAAACCTGCCCACGCAAAACTGGACGGACTCGGAGATTGGCGTGCTGGTGGCCGAGGCGTACAAATTAAAGTTTACGTTCGCCGATGCGCCGAATCACCTGCAAGCCCATGACACAACGACCAGGTGACCACTCTCAGACGGATCGGGTTGATGTTTATTATGAATAGTGGCCAAACCGAGAGGCCGAGCGATTGTCGCCGGTTCTCCTCTTCCGTCTCGCCGTCACTATGTACACTGTGTGACGTTCAGTCTATCACGGCCATATCGAAAGTTTTCGGAACACGCGGTCTTTCACATTTCGTTCCCGCGTCGGCTATTAAGTTTTCTCGATTACTTTATGCGTTATAGAGTTTATTCCTTTGTTACACTGAAGGATTTCGCGAAAAGAACTTGGATATTACTCGCCATGTTTCGCTCTGGAACAAAATGTAAATGCGTTTCAAGACGCGGAGAATTTGACGCGAATCAATTGCCATTTCCCGGTTTGCATTAAATTTTTATATATATAGTAAGTCTCAGACATTATATACAGATAATATATATAGACAGGAAAGTTTTATATATCGACCCTGTGTTGTGCTTTTACATGGCGATTACGCCGTTTCTACCAGCCTTGTATATTCCTACATCCCAATTATCACGAATTTAATTTTATAACTAATCTTTACGCCTTAATATTTAATATTCGAACGACGTCGTAATATTATATTTTATTTTATAGCGTGTATGCTTTATTCTGACATTTGATACTTTGTATATTAAAGTATGATTTGCCACGGATATATCTTGTACTTGTGATATGTAGAATTGCGGTCGTAGAATATGAATTGTAGGATCTATCTGGCATCGGACCTTCAATTGTCATTTAGAAATAATTGCACGCAGTATGTGTAAATTGATATTTTTTTATACACTTTCAATAGATATTCTTAAATGCGAACATTACGAACCAGATGTCTCAATTTATTGCAAGACAAATCTTGGGATTGTCTTGGATTGAAAGGGAGGTAGGTATATATTGCCTATATTAAAAGGTATATTATAAATAAATACGGCTAATACCAGCGAGTTTTCTAGCATCTAGTATTATCTAGCGCGCGCTGCGGCATTTCCTTAATTATATTTCAGTCGTTCTCTATATCGATTTGGCCATAATCCACATCCTCCAACGGCGGCATCATCGACAGCGACTCGTTGAAATTAAACATTTCCTGCAACACAGTAAAAAGATTGTTCCATTAGACATATTCCAGACGATGGCAAGTGCCCTGCATGATATCTCAAGAATATTCTACATTTTTTAAACGTCTCTTTTTGTTCGATGTTTCTGATAGACGTCATGTGGTACGTACGCTCACGTAATCCACGTGCACGGGTGTCGGGTATATACACGGCATGCATTCCATCTGCGTGACGCCGTTATTATCAGCGGTGCACTCGCAGAACTGACACTTGTTCGGCTCGGCCGTGAGGGCGATCCTCTTCGAGAAGACGCTCGCGAACTTCTTGATCGAGGCCGACTTCTCGAGACGCAGCTTGTCCCCGCTGAATATCGTGCCGTTCGTCTCCAGGGACAGGGGCGTGCAGTAGCCCAGCACGTTCTTGGAGAGCTTGACCTGCCGCCTTAGATCCACGTCGCCGGTCAAGACGCGGGAATCTTTCTTCGTGTACGACTTGGTCGCGTCCAAGCCGTAGAACATCTTGCCGAGCTTCTCCTTCTCGAACTGGAAGTCGCCGTCCAACAATATGTGCAGAGTGATGTCGTGCTCCAGCAGAACTTGATGCAACACGGAGTACTCCAGCTGAGGCGAGAGATTAGTCAGACAAGAATTCGACAATTTTTTATTTAAAATTCACAAAACTTAAGAATCAGGATTACCGTTTGGTATTCCGGTTCGCAATGCGAGCACGGCATCAGTATGAAGTTCTTGGACACGCCGGCCCTGAAGACCAGCCGCGAGGCGAAGCCAATCGCGGCGAAGATGTCCTGGCTGCCGCCGCCGATCGGCACGTAGTCGAAGTAATCGACAAAGCGCGCCACGTTCTTCGTGAAGATCTGCCCATCGAGGATGATGCTTCTGGGTCTGTCGTGTACCCCGTCACCACCGAACACCACCAGGGACCATCGGATGCCCGTGAGACCTTGGTCGTTCATTTCCTTACCGAGCTGCGTGATCAATAGCTCCATGCTGCTGTTCGTCTTTATGTCGCGATTGCAGCTCTTCGCCTCGACGATGAATACCACGTCGGCCGATCGCGGCACCTTGTCACCCTCCAGTCGCTTGAAACGACCCTCGGCCACCTGGCTGCCGTCCATCATGGTGCACGTGGTACACCGATCGGGTATTCGCATATAAGTGTCGCGGAACATGCACATCTGCATGTACGACACCGCCACCGTGCACACCTCGGTCTCGGTGGGACTGTTCAGGCACATGTCAACGAACTCGGTTGGGTCGACCACGCCGAAGCAGACGGCGAACTCCGAGCTCTTGTTGACGAACAGCTCGACGCAGAACGTGGCTACCACATTGTCCTGCTGTTGAATCCTACTGGCATGATTCTCCGTGTCGGCGCAGTTCTCGTCGATAGACCAGCTGTTGGCGAGACTGCCGGTATCCTTTAGGAATAACTTGTTCGGTGCCAGAATATCGTCGAACTGCTCGTTGCTCATCGTACCGAGGAGGCCAGCCGTCTTCCCGTAATACCAGCCCGATAGCTCCAAAGTGCACAGGTTGAACTTGAGATTGCACTCCAGTCGGAATTGGTCGTGTTTGCGCTCTACCATCACCACGTTCTCCACTTGGTAAACGTACGTGCTGTTGTCCAACTCAATCGGCAGCTGCAGGTTGCTCGTGATGTCCGCTGATTTCTGGGAGATCAGCTTCATTGTCTGAAAAACATGTAGCATTTGATATGATTATTGTTAATTATTTCGTTATTGAAATAATTAATTTTGCTAATATAAAATATGCAATGACAGACTTTACAAATTATCATTTGCATTTTTGTAAGCATAAGTTTTTACTATTAAAAAAAATAAAATTCTCAATTTTACTGACATCGTTGAAGAGGTCCAGCTCGATAGCGTTGCTTCCGATTAGCACTATGATCTTGTGGGTAACTTCCTCGGCTTGTCGATCGTATTTCGCCAAAACTGCGAAAGTGTTGTGCACGAAATCCTTCGCCAGCAGATAGGTGCAAGTTCCGGCGAAGTCAAAGTAACGTCCGTCGAAAGTGATGTAATGCTGGGAGCCGATAACCATGGCTTGCGCTGAAACAGTGCAAACTGTCTGTTAAAAGCAGTACATTATCTATTCAATCAAAATTTGAGGTCGATATTAAACTAGTTTAAAATGTTAAACTTTCGCGGCTGCAAGACAAACCTTTGAATGGCGGTAACCAGTTTGACAGCTCCGAGTATGGCTTGTATTGGTAATAAAGGCTCCAGAAGGTAGTGTTTGAGGTGACAAAGTACGTCCTGACGTCCGCGACCGCTCTGATCTCTGGTATCTCGTGGAATTCGGGCGTCTGATTGAAAGCGTGCCAGGACATGGGTAGCTTCTGCTCCAGGCACATCAAACCCTCGTTAGGATCGAAGATGAACATGGTCTTGGCTTCTCTGTAGCGGCTCTCGGCTTGCAGCGCCGTCTGACTGATGTCCATCATCTTGGAGTGCACCAATCTGATAAGACCCTCTACCTTGAGCTTGACTTCAAAGTACTCGCAGAGGTAGTTGATTCTGTCGTACAACTGCTCGAGCTTCTCCGTGGCGTAGTTGACCGACGGCAGCTTCCTGAGCTCCTTCAGCTCCAACACGATCTCGTCCACGACGTCCTTGAGCTCCTTGCCGAACGGTACGAAGGTGAAGTAACGCTCCTTCATGAATTGTATCACCAGACCCGAGTATTTGTGCATGTTGGTTACTATATCATTCGCCTTGATGTCGCGGTAAACCTTGTCGATGTCATGGGTGAAATTAGTGAAGCGATCGAAGTACGGCGACGTGATGATCTCTTTCTTACGATCGTACAAGAAATCCAGCATCTCCTTGCTCGCCTTCCACACGGCCGTCTCGACGTAGTGTAAGAAGCGGATGAACAGAGGTTCCATTAACTTGAGGAAGCGATACCATTGCTCTGAGATAGACGAGAAAATCGTGCTCCAGAGATTCTCGATGTACTTGATGAAGGACACGTGCAGGTCCTTGATAAATATGTCGTACTTCTCAACCAATTTCTCAATTATATTCGCTACCTGCGACAACGAGTCGCCTCTCAGCACAGCGGTCGTAATCTCGGACACTTTATTGTAGGCGTTCTTGATAGTCTCGATCAGCCAGAGCAGCGAATTTCGCAAAGCTTGCCCGGACTCGCCCATTATCTCCCAGATTTCATTCAGGATATTGGGGAGGGATTCAATGTGACTTCGCAGAGATAATTCGTCAATGACATATATACCGAAACCGACGATATCTTTGATGTAAAAGTCATTCGCGTTATAAGAATCGTTCAGATATAGTTTGAGATCGTTAAAGTCGCGCTCGAGAATTTTCAAATCGCTGAAAAAAATCGAGAAAAAGAAACTTGTATAGATTGTACATCAATTCACACATTATAATGTTAAATAGATGATAATTCCATATTTAATATTTTTGTAACATCTGATAATAAATTGAAAGTATTAAATATAGATTTTTAGTACTCACTTCCAATCGTCAAGGAATCCTGAAATGTCATTCTGTGCGTCCTCCCACACATCCATAATGGTATCTTTTACTTCGTTCTTTATATGATGTTTCCAATAATCAATGTCACTGTCCACACTTTCGCACATTTCGTTGTAAGTTGTTTTTACAGTGGTCTGTCAACAATCGTGAGATAATCGCTGTTAATTACATCGAAATTACATTAAGTGAGCATCCTCTAATAAAATTATCTTACAATAATATCGCTCTTAAGTTCGGGCCGCCATCGCAAGGTTGAAGTAACGAGCCTCGAGTGGTTTAGCTTCAGGTAGAAAGAAACGTCGGAGATTATTAAGTCATCGTCGAAGGTTCTCCAAATATTGAATATAGCGTTCCGAGCGTCCGGAATGTTGCCGTGCATTCTCAAGCTCACTGTCGCATCTACAAAACGAATACTATCGTAAATAGGTAAGTCAAGCGAGAAAAGTTCAAAGAGAAGATTTTCTCAATTTGATCTTTCAAGTAATTTCTCATCTGAAAAGCAGCAGTAATAAAAAGATCTATTTTAGACATTTGCATGCATTTTACGAAATAGAATAAACTAAAGAACACGTATACATATTTAGAAATTTCCAATTATTTCAACATTTCAAATATTTATTTACCGGGTGTGTAATTCACCATCATCGACGTGAGCTTCTCAGTCGGGTCCAAGAAGAAAATGCCGGTGGCGTTAAGTTCTGGTGTGTTAATAGCGCTGCCATTTACAATGTATCGAGAAGGCGAAGGGTAGTAGCCGATCGCAAAGTATTTGACCGCGTCGTTGTTCACTCGTCGGAAGATTATTTCCCTCGATCTCCGGTCGATCCGACCGATCAATTCCCCACTTTCACCCGGCATGTAACTGCGCGTGTATCGAGCGTGGTTCACCGTTTCGAGCAGCATGTATTCTTGTCTATGAACGAATCCTTCGACGTTGAGATCCAATTTAGTGTTGATGTGTTTGCCGGCTATCTTGTAGAGATACTTTTTGTTCAATTCGTCGCTTTCGTCCCTCAAAAGCGCGGACAACGACAATAATTTGTCCTCGTTTGTGGAATAATTCGCGGTGAAAGCGACATTCAGCAAATCCCTGTAGTCTTCTTTCATTAATACGCCCTTCAACGTGACGTTCTTCTCGAAGGTTGGATGATGAAAACTTAGCACGGCTTGCTGTTGACTCTCCATCGACGTGTCGGTGATGTTCATCCAATCGAAAGCCGCACCAACGCTCCTCGATTTCGCGTTGTCACGTTCCCAGCTTAAATTAGCTTCGGAGTTCACCTCGTTGCTGGTGATTCTGTAGGAACCGCCCAGGGTGAAGTTCCGTTGTGGGTACGACAAACTGAGGATAAGGAACTGATTGTCCACATCTTCGGTAGTCTTGTTCAGGATATTCACGTGATAGGATACCCAGGCGTTCTCAGCCAAGCTCAGCCAGGTGTTCTGATCAAACTCGCCGGGCAGAACCTGATAGTCTGTCTTCAGCTGGATCGTCTTATTTAAGTGCATCGCCTTCAGATGAATGTTCTGGCCGGTGTGGGTAGTTCGGACTCTGGACTCGCCGGCGATGTTAAATGCCGAGCTATTGTCCAGTCGGTAGATGTTGACCTGTTTGAATTCGACAGTGGGATAGTTGGTACCCTCGTTTCCACCACTGTACTCATACTGATTCACGTAGACAACGCCTATAGGCTTGTATATGTTTTCCACCGTGATCTGAATGCGATCCTTGTCGAAACCGGCCCGAGACTCGCTCTTTGAATTATATTGAGCGTGCAGCACCTTCTGATTGTTATACGTCAAAGTCGAGTGGCCAGTGTTGACTTGCAGACGTTTCTTGTAGCCGTAGTTCAGGATACCGATGTGACGAGCATTCAGAGGGACTTCTATGTGCAAAATACCCTCCAGATTCGAATCCAATCGCTCGCTATGGTAATTGTAATCGGAATTCAACAAAGCCGTATGGTTGGGCCAGAAGACCTCGACGAATCTTTTATTCTGTTTCCTGTGTATAGGAAAAGAAATAATTAGAAAAGATGAAAGGAATACTCTTAAAGAATTATATAAACGTTTTTTATGTCTTATTGTTAGATTATGACTCTTTTATGACAAATATAGATCTTAAAAGTGATGACTAATTTTGACTTTTAGAACATTATGCGATAAAATTAGTTCCTTTCTCTACAATTTCATATAGTAAATTCACTTACAGAGTAGTAAGTACAACAAAATTACAGCCAACGTATAACAAATTCTGCATAGATGTCGTAGCGTTAATGGTTCCATTAACATTCATCAGGTTTTCGTAAGATATTCTCGCAGTTCCAATCTGCCGTCTCGAAGGATAAAAAAGCTCGGCGGTGATCAAATTGCTCTCATTGGAAGCAACGTCATAATTGAAGAGGAGCACAAGCGTTTCCTCTTCTAAGAATATAGGCGTATACAGAGAATATTTGAGCTCGACTGCCTTCTTGTCAAACGTAATGTTAAAGAGATTATTGAGTGATTGTATGGGCAACAATCCCCAAGTTAGCCGGAAGTGTCCGTTAATGTCGCGCGTAGCCATTCGAATCTAAAATTGTACATTCAACTTATTCAAGTTTACACTATTGCGCATTAATTTCACTGCTTATTAATATCAGAGAAATACAAACCGATCCGTCCGAAGCATAATTACTCTTCGCCTCAACTGCGTTGTAGCCCACCACGTAAGAGATATCCTTCATATCCTTGCTAGTGTGATAGCTGATTAGAAAACAATGATCGTCTTTGTTCGGGGGTGGCAGCTTTACAGCAAATACCGCGTCAATATTCTGCTGACTGCGGAAACCAATGTTCGCGGTCGTTTCAAACTCCCACGCCTTGCGATCGATATCGAAATTGAAGCCCATGTCGAGGTTCCTGTTCAATCGGCCGGGGTTCTTGAAGAACACGTGAGTGGACAGCTCCTTCTTGCCCAGGTCCGTGGTATCGTATCCTGTGATTAATTTAACGGACATGTCCTCCATGTAGTTCAACTTCCACCTTGTGGTCGCGTAACACCGATCGTCGTTCAGTCGATGGTCCAGCCGGACGTCACCGCTCGTGTTGGTCACCATCATGTTACCTTTCACCGTCAGGATCCTGCTGTCATTCCAAGGTGTCTCGGCGTGAATATATAAAGTGGTATTGCCGTTCACTTGCACGCTCATAAAGGTACTCAGCTGATAGGTATTCGCTTCATTAGCCTCTTGGATATCCGCGCGGGCTCTCACGTCCCAATTCAGATTGTTGAGCACGTTGGCGTCGAGGGTACCATTGAATGATCCGCCATCAACATCCAGTAGGAGACCGAATTTCTTTCTCTTCAATCTCAAAACGAGGCGATTGGTATTCACGGTCTTCGGCTCGGCCTTCACATCCATTGAAACATCATCATTCTGCATGAAGACGATAGAACTAACGTCGTAAGATTTCGCTTGCAGTTCGTCCTTCAGCTCTCCCCTGATGTCGTACAACGATTCGTTGATCTGTCTCAAGTCACCGTGAAACTGGAAATGAGGTCTCTCCGATAGCGGCGTATGCAGATCAGCGTCGATCTTGCCGTTGTTTAAGTTTCCAATCAGCTGATACTTTCGATCGCCGAGATGCGTTACTTGTACGTTTAATGTGGCGGTATTATTTACGCGAATCGCATTGCTGTAGACGACGTCAGTCTCCAATGATCTTAAAGCTCTTATCCAGCTCTCCAGCTTCGCAGAAGCTTTTACGAGATGATCGTCTACTTGCCAGGCGGACTCAAAAGACACCTAAAAAGGCTTGGATTGCAACTCTTAATTCTATTTAATGAATAATAATTTAATTTCTATAAAAATGCAATCAATCACAAAATTAATGGAAACTAATTATTATACTTGTACTTTAACTCGATTACAAATAAATATCGATACTTTACGTATTTTGATACTGGCGCTTCCATCTTTGCATTGAACTTAACTTCCCTCCTATCTCCGGTGAAATCCTTTCTTGCGGCAATTGTAGTTTGCGGTATTTTTAGAACGGGCGAATCGATCGCACCCGAAACCATCATATCCAGCAAAGCCTCCCCTAGCTACACGACAAACAGATTTTTTATTCCAATATACTTACAAATGTTTATTTGTACATTTTAAAAACTGCGCGAGACTCACTTTTACACTTCCAAGTACATTCAAGATCAATTTGTCTCCATGAATCATAAGCGTACCCTTGTATAGATTGCCTTCGATCTCTACGATTGCGTTAGTATCGAAAGATTGAAGAAATCCTAAAGGTGTCTTTATGTTGAACTTAACCAAATGCGCCTTTCGATTCTTACTGGCTTGAACCGTGTAATTGCCGTGAAATCCAGTCTGCGTAAAATTTTATGTGCTTAATAGATTTTTCTTTCGATTCTGTCAATTGTGAGAGTATGCAATAAGGCGCTAAATTAAAAATATTACCTCGAGCCACGTGTTAGGGTGTTTTCTGATGTTCAAGTTCATATCCAAGAGGTAGGAGAGATTCTCCATATCGACGATAAACGCGTAGGACGATGTTATTTCTCTAATTTTGCTGAACGTCAGATCGATACGTAGATCATTCTTTATATAAAAAACATCTTCTATGATAAAGCTGTCGTCTATGACAATTTGATGTGGTGGCAATTGCATTGCTCCTAGTACTTTAAAGCTCTTATAGTCTTCAGTATCGATATCCAGTTCAGCCAATATATCTGGGATTAACGCAAGCCATACCTACAAATAAACAAATGTATATGTTACATTTAATTAACAATAACACTAAATTAATAATTATTCTTCTATTAAGAGAACATATGTATATACATTCTTCTGATTTGTTTTCAATTCATTTAGGTTAATTAAAAACTATAAGTATAATTCCATTATATTTACAGATTAATATTTAATTTATAATCGGTAGTGTTTATAATTTGAATTGTAAATCCTTAAAATGAAACGTTTGTAACAAAGTTTTTCGAATTATAGTTCGAATTATAATTACCTGCAATTCCCCGTGCCAATAGAGACCATTCTCATCTTCCTCGTCCTCCTCTTCCTCCTCTTCCTCCTCTTCCTCCTCTTCTTCTGTCGATTCAGAAGATTTTATAATCCTCGGTTTCGGAATTTTAACGGGCGGTGGTTTCGGTCCACTCTTAGCCTTGATGCCGAGTTTGGTATCTGCCAGCCTCACCGAGAATTCTGTGTCTACTTCCATGAATCGCTCGGGCTCTGTTAGATATGTTATCTGGTTTGGTACATACATTACGATCAACTTTGTAATCACACCGCACTCTTGCAGACCCTCGAGAGGTGTGAACACTATGTAACTGTAATCGAAATCGGTGATGTTGTTGTAGTGCCAAGTGCCGAGGAAACCGGCTGTGATGTTGTTAAAGCCAAGTCTGAAGTCGGCCTCGCGTTTATTCAGCTTGGCCACCAGCAACGCTTTCTGAAACATCTCCATGGGCGTCGCCAGCAAGAGCTTGACGTTAATATCATACGCGGCGGTAAAGATTTGGCACAGCGCCTCAACGCCCATAGGACCACTCGGTATGACAATTTCCGCCACCACGTGATGGTTGCTCTCCGAAAGACCAAATCTGCCACGGACAAAGGCGAACTTCTCCAGCGGCGTGGTAACGTTAAACTCCACCTTGGACTCCTTCCAGCGTACGAGGTCGCCGATCAGTTGACCGGTGTACTTGCGTTTATCCAGGTCAAGATTGGCCGCGCCAAAGAACCTCCAGTTGTTCATGAGGCGCAGCTGACACTTGAGCTCGCTCTTCCGGTAATTTATCAGAGGTGAAAGCAAATGCAGATTGCCGGTCAGGTTGAACACGTCATCCGATTGCTTGTCCAGATGCCAGACGCTGCGCGCATCGATTGTCTTGTCGGGGTTGTACTTGATTAACATGTGCGTGTCCATCGTTTCCGAGCGTAGTATTTTGTGAGTGATATTCACAGTCACCCATGAATTGACGTGGACAGTGCTGATCAAGCCGCAGTTCGCTGTCCACTCCTTCCGATCCTTGTGTTCGCTCGCGCTAGCGTAGAACTCCGCCATCACACGCTGAGTGTCCTTCCACTGAGCGCTGCTGCTGGCTAGGATTTTGTCTGGCAGTTGCAAATATCTGTAAAGAGAATGGAAATAAAGTCAAAATATTGTTTACAACATATCGTTAGAATTAATAGTTGTTTTTATTGTTATGACTTTGTTACATTTTTAATTATTATTAATGTAACAGCCTTTAAAATATTCAATTGTGACGTATGTATAAAATAATTCGTTACATGCTTACTTGGCGTGCAAGGCGGTCTTCTTCCAGTTTTCAAAAGGCGTCAGCAGTTGCGATTCTAGCTTGACAGTAATTATTTCCGGATGCACAACATAGTCCGTACCGATTGACGCCTTGATCGCGCTGTCCGGACCCCAGTCCAGAATAATATCCACCAGGTAACTGTGCGGACTACGTACGACCAAGTCGCAGGAGCCGGTTACTAGTCGGCCCGGATAGGTCAACATTACTATCGCGCTTCGTTTAATCCCAGGAGAAGTTTCGTCTATCACATACACCCGGTTCAACTGCAACATTGTGCCCAGCTTTAAGGCGGGATCTCTGTTAGCGTCCCACTTGATTTCCGCAGCAAACTCTTGCCGGTCCTCCTTGTTGATACCGTTCAGGGTCAGATGCACGTCCCGCCACTTGTCCAAGTGTAGCTCCACGCGAATCTCCCGCGTGGTGTCGATGTTCGTCATCACCGAGTACACGTTGCTGCGATACCTCGCTTCCACGTAAGACATTAGACTGGTCGACGATAGCACTGTGTGGTTCAGTATGAAGGCGTACTTATCGTAGTCCATCTGCTCGGCGTACAGGCTGATTTTAAAGTCGCTGTGATTCTGATACAATTGACAATTGAGCAGAATCGGACTGACAAAACTCGGCGACTTTACGATCATCTTCAAGTGATGATTAACGATGACGGCCAATGATCGGTCGGAATAAGCGCCGCGCGCAGTCATGTTGTGACCGCTAAACCACGTTCCGGAGAACTCCAGGTCATACTCGTTTCGCGAACGCTCGTTGATGCGCGCGTCGATAAGCATCGAGTTGAAGTTCGGGATTGTCAAATTCGTGTGACCTTCCATAGAGAATAACAAACCGCGCGGCATGATGATGTTGACGATCAGACTGATCTCCTTGCCTGCAAGTACAGAATCTCTGGATTTCTTTCTCCTACATAGCCAAATAAATTTCACTTACAAATATCAACAAATGGTGAATTTTGCGTCTTACCTGGCGCGTACCCTATGAGTAAGCTAGTCTTCGACTCGGCCCCAAGAACGTGGTGATTGACACCCACCTTGAGGTCCAAATTCTGAATAGGTTTAGTGATGGCTATCAACGCGGTCACTTTTGAGCCTTGATTTTGAAAGTACATCTTCGAGTAGGAGATGATGAGTTGCGCCGTGAGCTTGTGCCGGTCATCCTTCAGCTGCGGATTGGAGTTTACCTCGACGTGGAGCTCCAAGTGGCCGAGAGCTTGCTGGTACCAGGCGCTTATTATAGTGTTGAGCTGCGGATAGGCGGTGGAGTGCAACTTCATTTCGGCGGCCTTGTGCGTTAGGGTCTTCGACGAGCGATTGGACAGCGACACCTCCAAGTGGAGGGTCTCCCTCCTCGGCATACGTTGCAACTGATACTCAAGCTGAAAGTCGCCCGCCAGACTGATATTCCGCTTGACAATGTAGCCGACCAAATTGCTCCAGACTCGCTTTGTTTGGAAGGTCAGGTTTATATCGAACTGGGAGACATTGTTCTTCTGCGCGTTTCTAACGGTACCTGACAATTTCAATTTTTGTTTCATCTCTTTAGTTCTCCTTTCATAGTATAATTATAGTAGATTATTATACATTATTGTGATAATTGGATTTTTTTAAGTTTTAAAAGTTTAAAGATAATTAGAAAAATTAGAAAATTTTGAAAGAAGATATTCGAAAGAGTAAACCAGGTATAAAATTTTAATTGCTTAGTCATGCAGTTGTGAAGTACCTGAAAAGGCAGCAACGCGTTCGCTATTGATAATCAAATGGGCCACAGGTTGATAGGTATAACCGTGGTTGAACTTCTTCCTCGAGTAACCCAAGCTGGCATCCAAGTGCTTTGTGCCATTAATATCAAAACCGACGTCTATAAAAGTCTCATCTTCGGAACTTTTATATGTGCCTGAAAATGTAAAAACATTACTATATCTTCACCAACTACTATTAAAGGAAAAGATTATTAGATACGCATTCAAGAAACACTGACCTTTGGCAATCAAAGAATTTCCAGCTGAATGGAATAGAGCACTAACGTTATTATTTACTATGTCAAAACTGACAACAGCGCTTATCTCCCTGTTCACCTGCGAGCCAGGCGTGTCAAACATCAACTTAAACGTGTTGTATTCCTGAAAGGAAATTAAAAAACGCTATGAAGAGTATCTGTCGTTATTTCAATATTTGAAGAAACGCGATTTTACTAATAATTCTCATTAAAGATCAATGTTATTTTATTATTACAATTATTATCGAGAACAAATTATACGAAATTTGCAGTTTTTATTATACCTGGGTCTTATTCCAACTATACTCCAATACGTAATTTTTCGCGGTTGGATCAGCTTTGATCAAGGAGACTTTGAACAGTGTGAGACCGTTCAAGATGAAATAGGGCGCGTTGTGATCCTTAGTCACGTTTGTAAATTGATAATCGATGCACATTTTTAAGCCTATCAGTCTATCCAAGGCGGCCCAGCTGCACGTGGTGTTGCTAACGATATTCCTGGGCACAGTTGCGAGGTGTCGCGAGTTCTTCTGATTTTGATCGGCTACCAGGACACCTAACGATTTCTCCTGCACATCGCCACCGTTGCTTTTGATGAGAGTGACATCCGAAACCAATGAAAACATCTCGATCTTACGGTTCGGCAGGCCCAAACTCAAGTGCACTAAATGGGTATTGTTCACATTCAGATGAAGCTGCATAGTTCCGGAGGAGTAAAGGTTCGATCGCAGCTTGAGCCCGGCGGATTTGTAAAATGCGTCCACCGTCATTGTGCTCATCATGTCGATACTCATACTGTAAAAGAGACAAAGATAGAAGACTGAGACTTGTAGACTTGGAATGGATTATAAAATAATATTTTATATTAAATATTAAAGATATATGGTATAGAGGAAAGTCCTCTATTATGGAATAGCCTTCTACTATGAGATAGCGGAATTTCTGCTAAATTAATAGACATCATCTGTTGATTCCACTATGAATTTTTTGCTCTTGGAGTGAAGTCTGTTTAGTGAAAAATTGATTGTTAGATCGTGTAATCGTTGCCAAAAAAGATTTGTGATTGAATTTAGACGTTGAAAACCTACTATCTCATATTAGAATTCTATCTCATAATAGATAGGATGTTCTTCTACGCAATCATACGGAAAGAGTGCGAACCTGGAAGCGATATTGGCAGTGAGTTGAAACTCCTTGTCGGGTAGTCGAGCGTCGTCGAGCATTTTTGAGATCTTGAAATAGCAAGCTGCGGAGCCGGCGAGAGCCAAACGAATTGGCAGACCGGACCCCGTCGGTAGCACGTAAGAAGAATCCAAGAACATGCCAGTCTTCTCGTAGAGGATCTCCTGCATAGCCAGGAACTCTTTTATCTTCAGCCAGGGATTTATATTCGCCAGTGCAGTCCTCACTTGCTCGTCGCCGTCCAGAATCGTGAACATTAACTCGTTCCCGAATATCTTGTAACCAAGACTTATTTTCGGGTGATCGAAATTATTGTCGATAATATTAGGCAGTCGTTTCACGCCGTCCCAATAATTCTCATTCTCCGATGCCGATCTGAAACGTCTGAGGAAATTCCGGAGATGGTTCGAAATTTGTTCGTTGCTGTAGATGCCATCCGGGCCGAAGAGATTCTCCGCGTAGTACTCGAGGCCCTCCATTCGCGCTGTGATCTCGAACAGATTCACAGACTGCCCGAGGAGATCGGTGGTCACGTTGAAGGTGAGCGATCGCGGCACATACGATTTCGGTGAGAAGATCAGGTTCGTCTGATAATTCACGCCGACGTTATATTCTTCGGAGAAGAACGAGTTCTCGTAGTTGCGCGAGAACTTTCTAATATCACTGTTGAACTTGTTGCCAATGTCCTGATCCGTCAGCAGACTCTGGATCTCGACTCTGGTAGGCGAGGCAGAGTTGTACAGATTCGTCAAGTGGCTCCATACGAAAGAACCGACTAAAAGTGAACAGGGAGCAAAGAATCAAGAATTAGAAAAGGTCATTTCTTTTTTCTCGTTAAAGGAATGCATCAAGAGTTTAAAGTGGTCTTAACAATTAAAACTGCCTAAAACAAGACGTATTTTCCAAAACACTCGAGTCGTTCTTGGTCCTCGAGATACAAAATGCTGTAATAAAGATTTAACCATTTAACAGTGAGAAAAAGATACAACGAACCTTGGTTGACCTCTTCTACTTTGAGAGTGTGCTTGATAGTCTTGATAACGTTGTAATCGGGACAACGCATCACCTGTAAGTAGGAAGCAATACGGATCTCCGTGTCTAACGTTGTGTTGCGGTAATAGTCGAGGAAGAATTCGTCCCGAGTCTCCTCGCAGGACGGCAGCCTGCGGTGAGCATCGACGGCGGCGACGCGAACGTCCATTGGCACAAATCCACCGGTGTCGTCTATGCATTTCTTCAGTTCCCTTCGCAAGTTTTTCGTTTCGAGTCCCATGTTGCCGATCGCTTTCAAAGCCTCCAGCGTCTACAATTATAGAGAAATATTTTTTTAATTCTCACACGTTCTACGCACATGTTTTATCTTCCATTTTGCCACAGGTAGGTGAGAAAAAACTCATAAATATCTCACTTCTTTCGACGAGGAATGAAAACGGGGCTCGCAGCCTTGCGAAATTTTCTCCTGGAGATGCGACAGGAGCATGTTCACCTCTTCCAGGTCAATGCAATCGTCGTTGTTTTTGCAATACGTATGAATGATGGTGGAGTAGCTGAGAATGAACTGCACGTGTGGGATTTGATGCTGGTAATCCAGCAGCTTCCTAAGAGCTTTGATAGTGTCGCGATCCGGTTGTGGAAACAGAGCGAAAGTGACGATCCAGTCGTTAATGGTTATCTGATTGACATACTTCTTGATTATCAGATCATTCATTACATTCACTGCGGCGTTGCTATTCAAATACGGCAGTGCTGCGATAATGTGTTTCCTGTTGAGTAAAGGAAGACAAATATTTAGTACAATCAAAGGGGAAAGTTATATTGGAGAAAATTAATTTGCCGTTATTTTTCATTTTACTCTTTCAATTACCGCTCTCTTCTTCGATTTTTCTTTTATTACCGAAAGAAATGTTACGTCCGACAGTTACGTACCTCCCGTTTCTGCAAATGCTGTTAGCTCTGCTGAACAGCTGCGACAACGAGGGATAATCCAGGAAGCGAGCCGAGTGAACGAAGTTGGTGAATATCTCGGAGAACCTCTGCTGCAACTCGTCGGCGTTACCAAGCCTGCACATGCTCTTCAGCAAGTCTCTGGAGGTCCGTAGCTCACCGTGCATGGTCTTGAGCGTCTTGGAGTGGTCGTACAGCAACGTGGTCCTTTTAACACGAGGTGGCTGCCCCACGAAATTATCTTCGTCCCTGCCCTCGTCGTCGTTGTCCTCCTCGTCCTCCTCGAATCTCTGGACAGGGCTGGTCGTTTCCTGAATCAGCTGAAGAACCGTTCGGGACTCGGCTTGGGCGCCAGCCTTGTCGCCGTTCGAGAGCGGCTGCAGCATTCGCATCTCGTCGCAGACCACTCTCTCGTAGACGTTGTGATCGATCGTGATCTCGCAGTCGTAGTGCGACTTAAACAGCACGCTCTGGCGGTGCTGCTTCCGCGGACTCCTGTAGGGATTCGACTGCACAACGGAGAAGTATTTGGGGCCGTTCTGACAGTCGGCCAGATACTTGGTCTTCTTCACGATCAGGCTGGTCTTTTTTGCCTCGTACAGGCGATAGTGGGTGTCGCAGGCGCCGTGAACGTCCACCTCGTCGCCGCGGTGGTCCACGTCGAAGCGGCGCATGCCGTTCTGCAGCATCGATAGGACGCCCCGCTTGAGGTTGAGCGCCCAGACCGGCTCGCGCCGGTCCGGGCACAGCTCGTGGATCAGCCCGTCGTCGAAGGTGAACTTGAGCGCGTAGCGCTCGAGGCTGGCCTTGAACTCGGAGCCGGCGCGATCCGGGAACTCGGGGTTGTACGCGCCGCGGTCGTGGCTGATGCTGGCGTTCAAGATCCTCAGGCTGCCCTCGCAGGGGCTGTCGAAGTGCACGGCCAGGGTGGCGTCGACGTGCAGGGCCGAGTCTTGAGAGTGCCGGGACGACAGCTGCTGGTAGCCCAGATTCGTGCTGACGTCCACGGAATACGCGTACACGTAGTGGACATCCTCGTGATACTTGAACTTTCTCTCCGACGGAACTAAAAGAGACGTTACGGCGTTAAAAAAGAAACGCTATACAACTTATCTCATTAATGGGTTTCAATCCACCGCCAAAGTTTCTTTATCGTATCGTAGGCGAGCACATGGCGCTTGCATACTCGATTCGCATTTATTTTTATCCAGCAAACTTGCGTAAACACGTGTATAAAGAGAAATTCATTGGTATGTTTCTTTAAGTGGATACTTTATGGGCTAATCGGATTCCTTATGCATATGTTTGATGCTTACTTGAAAGTGAATCCGTTTTTTACTTCCGCAATTCAACATATACAACCCGCTTATTCTTATCACTGCCCGTATCAGTAGACAGGAACAGATATCGTGTTTGTGATATTTAGTTAGGTTTTCCATAGAAAATTTTGAGAAAAGAGTGAAGTTTCATCTGTATTTTCTGAGCTTTAGTGACTTTTTACTTCAGAATATATATAGAAAACGCTTCTTGTTAAATTTATTTAATAGAACGTAACGTTATTGAAAACTAAATATGAATAATATTGTATATATAATAATATGAATAAATATTGAAAAATAGGAAAGAATGTTATGTCTAACATTAGTTGTTTGCTGCCACTGACGTTAGTAGAATGTTTGTGCTTAGAAAAAGATTTTTCTTCGTATCAATAATCTGTTTTCTAAATAATTATCATTTCCTCGTATTCCCTTATCTGTACGTCTGCGCTGGAGTCCTTCACCTCGGTAGACGTATGTGTACTGTGATATAGTAGTCGCAGTTTATTTGTATACCAAAGAAAAATGGAGAGACATTTTGGATTAATTTGATAGATTAATTATAATTAATATTTTAACACTAACACCCTGTCACGGCTCTTAGTCCTTTATTCCTTCAAATTTGTGTTTATCACATTTGAGCCGTACGAATTTTTATTAATTTATTAATTAATAAGTTATTACACGAGATAAATTATTTAGAAAATTGCTTAGAGCAGCAAACGAGCGAGATACTACGCAACTATTTGCGCGGATTGAAACGCAAAACATATATTCTTTTTAATTTATGCAATCGTTGCAAAGAAAAGGCCTAAAAGCGCAATGTTACATTTTATATTTAGCTGTTCACAGGAGAAAAAATGCGCGAGTTGTTAGAAAACGAAGCGGATCTCTTAGGGCCAGTTTCACAAACGTCGGTTAACTGCTAACCGAAGGTTAATTGATCCGCTGTCTCTTCTTAAATAATAAGATGAAAAAAGATAGGGAGTCGACTGAACCCTAGTTAACAGTTAACCGATGTTTGTGAAACTGGCCCTAAGTGTTCTCTTTCAACGACGCGCCACGGGATAAACTTGTAACTCGAACCAGAAATGTGATATCTAAATGTCGAGCTGTGTGCCTGGAACATGTGCGCGGGGCAATATTACCTACCCTTGCATTTTGTCCGGCCACACTGTATTGGATCCTTGGCAGTCTCTGTAGGGACAAAAAATTGAAAAAATATATCATGCGTCTGTTTGAAACATCTGGCGTATATATTTAGTAAGTATATCACACTGTATGTTAATTATTTTCTCCCGGCTAAAGATCGGCGCTGATTCGTTCGACTTTACTTAACATTTTTATTATCAAACCTTATAGAGAAAAATGCTTCAGAACTTTTTAACTCAGTTTTTAATAAGAAACACTGCTATGTAATTAGTGGGCGGTCTTTCAGTCGCCCTGTATATATGTGTATTGCATTAAAAATTTTATATTATATTAAAAAATTGTTAATTCTTCGATATGAATAAAGGTCCATAATGTATCTTTAAAAATTGGATTGCTCGTCCGAGAATGACATTAATTGCATCACGTTCTTTATCTTTGAGCGATTGAACGCGCGCGATACGACTGGAGCAGTTACTTCGAGATCGTTTTCCCGCAACGCGAGTCTGGCGGGAGCCTGGTGCCGCCAATCCCGGCACAAAGTACACCGTCGCGCGGCAACGATTGTGAGCAAATTAATGAGACACCGGACGCCGTAATAAATATGTACACACCGCAAACGCGTGCGCACCGGAAATTGGCGATAATTACCTGCTAGCCCGGCAGTCACCGCGTACGCGAGCGTAAGAAGCAGTATCGCCTTGGCGGTCATGGTTTCCGGGAGGACGGCAACCCTCGTCGCTTCCGGAACTTGCGGGACCCTCCGAGATCGCTGTTATCACGCGGTCTTCATCCCTCGACGCTGCTCCGTCGAAACGCGCCTCGCTTCGACGGGAATCTGCCGGTGCCAAAGGGTCACCAGCGGAAGGAGGAACTTTCGCGATAAACGGTCCCTCGCACCGATCACTGTACTCTCCTCAATCTCTCTTTCCGCGCTCTCCACTTCCGCTCGGTGAGATCTTAAGTCTAAGCACTGGGACGTATCCACGGAGATCTGGCGTCGCCGCGGCGGCTGGGCTCTTTCTCCCACGGTGAAAATACCCGGCAATAACCACCCGGGCGATAAACCGGGGTGCGGATCGGCGGCTTGATTGGAGACGAAGATGGAGGTGGAGAGTGAGAGCGCGCGGCGTTCACTGCGTGCGACTAAATAAGTATTTCCGTTGCTGGCCGACCGACGAATGGTCGAGGGAACGACGAGGGAGAGGATCGGATGTTAAAGGTCTCCCGATGCTTTCTGTGTTTGCGCAGGGGTCGGAGGTCCGCCTGCCTGATGATAAGATAGCCCGCCTAGCTGCGACGAGATCCTCGTCTCGGCGTCGAGTGTGTCGCACGCTGGAAATCGGTGTCGGCTTCGAATCGTCGGCGCCGGTTTCGCTGACTCGACCGAGAGGCCAGGAAACGTCTTTTATTTCCGGCCGATGGTTCCCGAGATAAATTGACTCAAAGCCATTTTGCTAAAAATGAAAAGGCGAGGAAGTAACATATGTAAATTAGGAGATGCAATAGGATTGCGGTTTACTTTTCCTAGACATTCGAAATCGTTCAATTTCTTTTCCGTATACGAATAAAGATACTCAATGCTACGCGGAAATAATCTACTTGTTATGTATTTGCGTACAATTCGTCCGTCATCGCCAGCGCGAACGACACTTAATTTTCATTTCATTGTGTTGTGCGTGAGAAGTAAATGACGATCCTAGTAGCACAGTGCATTGGCTAAACATTGATCCAATGTCGGTTATATTAGAAATGCATTTGGCCGATAGTGTCTAACGTAAAGCCAATATTGGCTCATGGAATAAATGTAAATTTTGCACGATAATAATTATATAACATTTATATTGGAAATGCATTAGCCAATATTTAGCAATGTAACAAGAATATTGGCCTAAAATTGATAAAATATAAAACTAATATTGCTGAATAGACATATTGGCTGGATAAGAGGCGTCTATCTTACAATATTGAACCAGTATTGGGAATATTAGATTTACATCATTTCCCAATAAAGATTTTATTGGGAAATAAATGTAAGATATCTTATTGCATTGTTAAATATTGGCCAATGCATTTTCAATATAAATCTAATATTATATAATTCATATCGTGCAATATTAACATTGATTCCATTTACATTGATTACCAATATTGGCTTTACGCTGGGCAATATCGGCCAGTGCATTTACAATATAACAGACATTGGACCAGTATTTAGCCAATGCTTAGCCAATACACTGTGCTACTAGGGAACGTCTGTGCTATTTTGTTAATTTATAATGGACGGAACAACTAATTCCTTGTTAATCACATATAAAGAAAGAAGATTGAGCTCAACGAATTGTACGACTAGAAAATCTTGAGCAATTCCGAATCAACTGCCGGTCTCAAGTTAATCAAAGTCTGATTGTGAGCTAATCATACTCGGCCTAATTTCTTCCGTTCGTTTCGTGGCGCGTCCCGGGTTCGGCGCGCATGTCTGTTTTGCGTGCGCGAGACGCGACAGTTTGCATATGGCGGGCGGGTATTATGCTGTCGGTGTTTACGGTTTCCCGTGCGATATCTCGTCCGCGAATGCCGTCGCCGACGAGTTTCCCGTGAAGCAGGGTCGTCGTCGCGGTGCCCGATGGTCATCGACAACCGACGGCGCCTGGACATGCGCGACGCGATGCGCTGCCTCGTGCCGGCCTTCTCGGCCGGCTTCGGCGAGCAGATTGAGGTTAGCTTTTTGAATTTGCGCCCGTTTGCGCCGTCGCCGCCCCGCGTGCACGCCGCCGCATTGACGCGCGTCCCGCCTTTCTTATTTTAGGAATACGAAGTGCTGAATCTACTGGGCAAGGGCGGCTACGGCAGCGTATACCGGGCGAGATGTCTTCGCAGCGGCATGGAAGTGGCGATCAAAATGGTGATTTCTCTCTCGGAGCGTCGGGTGACGCCTGTCGCTCCGGTTGCACAGTCGTGTCCCCGAGGGCCGCTCACCTTTTTCAAAATACGAAGTCGATCTCTGCAAGATTTGAAGTATTGGGCAAAAGAGATTGGACCAATGTCAATTCTTGAGGTCGCGACGCTCCGGTGGCTCGCTTCGTGCTCTGTGAATTATACAGATTTATTGCGAGGCTCCTCGTGCGCCAAAGCGAACAATCTGTTCATATCTACCTTCTATGTCCCTGTAGATCGACAAGAAAATGATGCAAGTCGCTGGGATGATGAACAGAGTGAAGCAGGAAGTCACGATACATACTCGGTTGAAACATCCTGTTATCCTAGAGGTGTATACGTGCTTCGAGAATGCACATTACGTGTACCTGGTTTTAGAATTGTGCCACAACGGTGAGCTGCAACGCTACCTCAAAGCGCAGGGCACCAAGACTCTATCCGAGGAACATGGTACGCAATTTGCGTGCAAAATGGCACATTATAAATTCCGCGTTACAGTTGTAACAAACATTCTTGCTGTTTCAGCCGCCTACATAATCAAGCAAGTGGTGCAGGGTTTGCTCTATCTCCATTCCCACCAAATACTCCACAGAGATCTGTCGCTGTCCAATCTACTCTTGACGAGAAGTATGCAGGTGGTACGTAGAAGAAAAGCGTGACGTTTGTCGCGAGAAGTTTGTTTCTTCTTTCTTCAATTTGGTTTCCGTGCTCGCAGAAAATAGCGGATTTCGGACTGGCCACGCAGTTGAATAAGCCGGACGAGAAGCACGTGACCATGTGCGGCACACCAAATTATATCTCGCCTGAGGTGAGTGCTTTCTGTAGATCGTCGTACATCACGCGGGATCCTGTGACACTTGGACAAATCTTCAGGTTGCTACGAGGTCCTCGCACGGGCCAGAGGCGGACGTCTGGAGCTTGGGGTGTATGTTGTACACTCTGTTGGTGGGCAAGCCACCGTTCGAGACCGACGCGATCAAGAGTACCCTGACTCGGGTGGTGATGGCTGACTACGAGATGCCGCTTCATCTGTCGGACAACGCGAGGGATCTGATAGATAAGCTGCTGAAGAAGAATCCAAAAGAGAGGATACGCCTGCGGGACATTCACAAGCATCCATTTATAACGAGCATCGAAAAGAGCAGGTTACGCAATGTAAGTGACGTGTACTTGAGGTACAACAGCTAACGTCGGACGTTAGTCATTGATGACACGAACTTGCAATACAGCGTTTGCGTCTCGTTTGTTCAGGAAAGAAGCGGCGCGAGCAAAAATCCATTCACCGATGGCATGATGGATTCTGGGCTTGGCAGGACACTCTCGTCGTACGATCGACCGAAGATGCGATCCCGCTCGGAGGAAAGGATGTCCACGATACCGATGATGCCCATGGTCAGCGTGAGAAGTGAGCCGTTGTCCGAGCCTGTTGCGAAAATGCGTACAAACCACCGAGCGAGATACGCCCATTGCCGCCCGAAAGAGGACTCGTTGATAAGCAGTCCGATACCGCGCGGCAGAGCGTTCTCACAAAGCGAACAGTACGGTGCCTACGACGATTCCGAGAGACTGAGGGCGGCGGAGAGGCACAAGCCGAGGAAGGAAGTCGTCGCGGAGAACCGTAGCGCAGAAGGAACTGAAAAGAAGTTCGAGACCAAGTTACAAGTGCCGCCCTTGAATTCCAATAGATTGCAACCTACCAGGCACAGAGCGAAGAACGCCATTCTCACCATTCTGGATAACGGGGAAGTGTGCGTCGAGTTCATCAGGAAACACAGAAACGGCATGGTACATGGAAAAGAGCGACACAAAAATTATATCAACAATTATTTGACACCAGTAAATGACTAACAATGATTAGCTTCTAATCGACCATAACTGGTGTTGTGTTTTTAATACACAACACAGAAAATTTACTGCGAAAAATATGGTCGAATTGGTGAGACGCCCGCCTAGAGTGTAGGGAGGTCCAGATTCAAACCCTGGCCGAGGTAATATTTTTCGCAATAAATTTTCTGTGTTAAAAACACATCGCCAGTTATGGTCGATTACGAGCTTAATCACAAAAATTATAATAGAAACATTGTCTTGTTTCATGAAATAGAAAAATAGCGCAGGTATGCGTGTGTGTGATAAACGTAGGGATGTAAAAATATATTCATTTTTTATATCGTAGGAAAAGATAACCGAGGTGTGCAGGGTATCAGGTGACGGTCTACGAGTCGTTCTCTACAAACCGAGCACGACTACGGAGATTGGCTCGCAACCTTTACCGTTGCCTAGCCGGGGCGCCGATAGTATCTATTCGTACGAGAATTTGCCGGCGTGCCACCATCGGAAGTATTTGTACGCCTTTCGTTTTGTGAAACTGGTCCAGGCAAAAACCTCCAAGTTGACGCTGTACACTCAGCGCGCCAAGTGTCTGTTCATGGAAAACGGTCCGCAACCTGATTGCGAAGTGCATTTTTATAATGGAATAAAGGTACCGTCGTCGATTCGACCGTCGATTCTTGTGCATTGTGTAAATGTTCCATGTTCCTGTTCCATGTTCTAGGTCGTCCGAGAGGATAGTGTTGTTAGGATCACCGACAACAGCGCTGCCACGTACGTCGACGGTGCGTTTCCGTCGCATCTCGAGACCTATTACGAGCATTACTCGGAATGTTACCAGCGTTGCCTGCTACTGGAGTCCACTCTGGCGTCTCTGGAGGCAGCCACCGGGCATTCCTACTTCCCCGTGATAATCGGACGACGGCCCAACACGGCCTTGAGCGATGCTCCCTACCTTCAGGGGAAAGAAAATGTCTCGCCCAGCACAAATGGTTCCCCCGTTGTAAGTAGCGAAGAGAACGCCTTGATCACGCCGAATCGGCTTCGTCGAATTACCGTTGCGTCTCTTTCAGTTGCCATCGTTCGGCACTACCTGCTCCATGATATCGACGGCGACTTCTAGGTCGCGCAAGATCAACTCTACGCATAATTCTTGCCACACTGTGAACAAGGTAGCGGTACCGGGAATTGGTTTTGCCACGAAATTGTCGTCCGGCGATATTAGGGTTGACTACAAGGACGGATCCGCCTTGACTGTAAATTTTTATATATATATAGACAATTATTCTATTTATATTCTACTATACAAATCTACATGTATTCAACTATTCCATCTATACGGCTCGCTGATTTAATTTAATCTGTTAGAATTCGAAGGAATAGAGAATATAAGAGCCAAAACAAGATGTTAGTGTCTAAATAATTGTAATTTTTAAATTTATTGTGAAAATTTTAAAAATTAAAATCATTCAGACACTAACATCTTGCCTTGGCTCTTACATCCTTTATTCCTTCGAGTTGTGATTACACGCCAGAGCCTTATGAATTTTATTATTTAATTAGTCAGATTTAATACTTTAATAGATTACTAACGTCTACTATCGATCGCGTCGACTCGTATTTTATCGACAATATTGTTGTTTGTTACAGGTAAGTCCACAAAATCACAGTAGCGGCATCACGTACGAGACTCAGGACGGCATCGTTGTACGATATAACAAGCATCATCAGCAGAACTTGGAGATGCCGGTCCAGGAGAAGCTCCGACAGTTGCCGACGATTATCAAGTATCTCATAGAACCTATGCACAAGGGCATTCGGTAGCTCTGCGCGAAAAATATCCGATATTTTGTATAATACAAGAAATCATTCGCTCCACGGACTGTAAGCTTGCTATAGATTTATAAATTAGCATAGATTTATACATAGCTTATACACAAATATAGCTTTATGAATATTTTCACGTACGCAATAGCGAAATAAAGAAAGTATATTCGTATCTTTAGCACAGTTTGAGTTGCTGTTTTTGTAAAGAGCAAAAAAGAAAAATGAAAGCTCGTTAAATAGTAAGGTAAGGGGAACAGTACATCTTTTAAGTGTCGATATTTATTTTTATAGATAAAGGACGAGAGGCAATTGTTGCTAGTAATATATTTATTTAAAGAAAATTTGAGAAAAAAATTCTTGTAAGAGTGGAATAAAATTGCTAAGTTTCCCATCGTTTTCGCTGTACGTAAAGGAATATTCTACGAAATCCAGTGTCTCCTGTTCCTCAGAATAACGAATTGTGCAGGTACATTTATTACTTTTACCGATATGGAAATTATGCAGGTACGTTTATATGTCGGTACTCTTACCGATGCAAATGATCGTGTAAAATGAAAATATTAAAAAATCGCTACGATCGCTGTCTCGTTCCGCCGAGCAGCAACGAGGGACGAATATGCCGAATAAATTGAGTGACGAGAGAACAGACGAGTTCCAATTTTTATAAAAATGTTTCAGCAGATCCCTCCTCCCCGCGCCGTCCCGCAAGTCTCTCGGCCCCCGAGATTTGCTCGTCGGGAAGATCGGATTTTCCGAGGGAGTACAAGCCCTGGCGTTTACCGCGACTCCTCGATCGAATCGGGGTCACAAGCGGTCATCGTCTCTCCCGCCCAGCCCCGCTCCATTGAAGGGAACGACGGTTTTGACGTGCGCTTACTACAGCACGCCCTACGATTCGTCGCCGCGGCAACGAGGGCCCCATTCACCGTTCGCGGAAAGTAACGGACGACGCGCGTTCGCGGACGCCATGTTGAGCCGTCCGTGAGCCCGGAGACACCCGTGCCCCGTGGAAGTCGTTCCCCTCGAGCCCCGAGATCCGACGAGCGCCGCAATTGCGCGTCGTGCGGTCACGCGCTCGAACAGAATTCGGCTCCGCGGGGGCGAGTGGACCGTTGACGTGCGATCGATCGCGCGGCCGTCTCGCGGAGTGACTCTGACAGATGGTAAACAAGCGGCGGTATCCAGTGGAGTCGAGAGATCGTTGAATCAGCCAGTTTCATCTGCCGTCTCTCTCTCTTTCTCTCCCGTCCCGCGAGTGGGATATGTCCTTCGCTGCCGCGGCCGTGGAACGTGCGATCGCCGCGGCAATTAACGCGCAGCGGCTGCTGTAATCGCGGATTCCGCGACGCACACGGGCGCTGCCCATCCTGCCTCCTCCGGGCGCCGCTAATAGCGAACATGGGTAAGTCCGTCGCGCCGATCCTCGACGAGGGTCCTTCCCTTCTGGCCCTTTGGTCGCGAATCGACGCGGTCGCGCGACGCCGCGTCGCAACGGCAGGCGTCCATACGGTTGTAAACATCGCAGCTACCAGCGCGTTCGGCGGCGAGATCTGATTTCGATACGTGAATTAATGACTGGCCCAGCGTGGACGCGCTCGAGAGAAAGAGCTTGTTAAGCGTCGTTAATGTGTCAGCTACAATGCGTGGAAGTAAGCCCGGGGTAAGAAGTAGGAGTAAGGAAATAAATCAATTTTATTTCTTCCTCCTACTTCAGCTTTTACGCTCGGCGAGTCGAAACGCCATCGGCCAGTGTCAAGATATTTAAAAAATTATGCCTGGCTTTTGGCTTCCTTACAGCGAAAGCTAAAGGCTGGTCTACAATACA